TTTTAAATCGCTTTCGAATTTTCTGAATCTTTGTTGTTGCTGGATGAATTGCATTTCCAGACTGTATAATATGATGCAACGATATATATTTATTATATTTATAATTCGAGGTAATTAAGAATCAAAAGATACGTATATATTATTAAAGCACGCATATATTATTAAATTATAGAGAAGATATCATGCATTATATATGATCTGTCTACACACACACACACACACACACACACACATATTTGTGCTCAAGAACGATCTAATTACGTACATACATATGATTGACGTTTTAAATTGATTTTTCTTGTTAAAAATTTGATGATACACCATCTTTCTTAGCAGTTTTTTGATTTATTAGTCTTAAGATTACTTTAAGTAATTGCTTTTAAGTGTCAAAGTAAAATCAACTTAATATATCTGCGCGTTTCTAAAACTTAATTTTTGAGAAATTCGTCCACAATTCAAAATCTACCGCTATTTCGATATTTTCACGAAAGAAGAATTGATCGCAACTTGCTCGAGCAGCTTCACATTTATAGACAGTAGAACACTCTGTACAGAGTGTGACACTTTTTCATCACGGCAAGACAATCGCTCGCAAAACGAATTTTTACAAAGCTCTTCGAAGTGAGCTGCAGGAAGGATCGGCGCCTTAAAAAAGGCGGGTTCGTTAAGTTTCTTGTTTCGATTCTACCCTCGCGTCAGACACAAAAAGGGGTATCTCTTTTTTCTTTCGTCTTGCCTCTTCTCTCTTCGTTCTTTCTCTCCGTCTCTCTCTTTCCTCTTCTCTTTCTTCTTTCCACCCGCACTGTCGTTCGTTGGCCAGAAACGGGAAACGCCTAAACTATCGATCGAATTACGTAACTGCAAGCGAGGGGCCAGTAATCTCGTTTTTATAACGAACTTCGCCGCGCGAGTGAAATGTCTCCGGTATCGTTATATACGTTATGAGTTATGACTCCCCCGGACGATCGAAAGCGCGGCTCTTAGCAAGGAGCGTCGATATTAATTTCAATGCTGATTGTGAGTATCGACAAGTATCGGTAATTACAGCAAGATATTACAAAACTTGACTTATAAGAGATGCGATACTTATAAAATAATACGATAAAATGATACGAATAATAAAACAATGCGTGTAAAACTTGTGTTATCTTGTCTTTTACTATTTTTTACTATTATTTAGATAATATTTTTTTCAATATAGGCGATAAAAAATTGACATATCAATCTGTTTTGATTGCGGCTGTACGGCTTCCTATTAAATATTGCTGTAGAAAATACTCTCCTCGACGTCGTGTAGCATAGATATATTTCATACCTCACAATGAACGGCTCTATTCTCGATTTTATAGCAGGATCAGATATTTATACTATAACTTTTTTTACTTCCCAGGATCGAGATATTTCTCTTCGTGGCCTCGATATTTATTTGATACCGATTTTGATATCAATGCTTCTATTCTTTGCTCAATATGGAATTTTCCCCCGCGATAACGCGTCGCGTTTCTCTTATCTTACGAGCGCTTTCTGGGACTTTCTGAGCTTTTTGAACTCTCGCGCACTTGCTGATTCATGCCAAGATCGGCATAATTCGCGAAAGACGGAAATTCCGAAAAAACCGCTGCGATAAACGCTATAACGCAATATATACATTAATTTTACTCCACATACGAGTGAAAAAGTCGATTTTCTGTTGCGCGCAAAAGTGGAGTATTATTCGACTTTTGGAGATATTATACATATGACACAATTATATGCGATTTTTTTATATCAAGATTTTTGCCGTGATATGATAAGATTGTCGTTTTTATATCGAGTAACTGTCTAATTGTAAAAATAGCGCGGAGATCAAAATTTTTAAATCAACGTGTGATTTTTCACAAATACCGATTCGCGTTCATCGACATTCGCGTCGCGGGCAATACTCATCATTACGTCTCCGTTTCCCCCATCCTCCGCTCTCCTTCTCTTGCCGATATGGTTTCGTATCGATTCATATAAATAACTGAAATAATGTCCGGTCGAATAAATATTTATTGCGCGCCATTACAAATGTAAATTTCCGTCGGTATTCCGCGTTTCGCTGCCGTTTTCGCCGTAAAGCGTCTTGGGATCGATCGCGCGCTTGTCATGCTTTCGCGTTCGCCGTAAAAAAAAAAGTAGCGACGGCGGGGGAGAGCGGTCAGGGGGCGAGGCAGACGAGGGAGATCGACAAATTTGACGAAGCACCCCTTTTCCGCGCAGACAGGAGGGGGTCGTTCTCTCTCTCCGCCGGTTTCTTCCATTTATATATTCCTTTTTTTATTTTTTTTTTTTTTTTACTTTGGACGAAAGACGAAGCGCCGTTATGCACGATAAAAAGTTTAATGTCAGAAGACGTCGCGGACGATGGAAGGGGTGGCGGGTGAGAGGGAGGGAGGACGGGGGGAAGCCAGTGATGGAGAGAGGGAGGGGAGGGGGTGAAAGTGCCCGAGGATCGTAATGACTCGATATGAAACCCGGGCAGTGCAATTTCTTTCTTCTTCTGCCCTTTCCTCCCGCCCCCGCTCGTCTCGACGTCTTCCTCTTTTTTTCATCGCAGTATTTCCCCATAAAAGCGCCCCGGCATAATAAAAAGCGTTATATAGCTGGCACTGAAAAGTAACGCGTCTATGCGTCTCTCTCTTTCTCTCTCCCTCGCCCCCCCCCCCCATCTATGCCGTCTCTTCTACCCCTTCTTTACCGTTCCGTCCGTTCGCGAGACGATCTTTACGGCCTTATTTGCGGAGACGTAAAAATCGTGAAAATCAATACGGAACTTCTAACATTAAATATTCAGGCTATTGACTGGGCGGGGCCGAGTCAGACACTCATCGTTCGCAGCCCCTTCGCTCACGACAATAGAAATGAAAAATTAATAGAAAAATTAAGACTCGACTGATTAACGAAGAGGACACCCGACGAATACGCGTGGAGAGAATAAGAGGGATAGAAATGAAACGCAAACGGGGGGAGAAATACGAGTCGAAACAAAGAGGAATCGCTGTCCATGTAGAAAGAAGAGGCTAGCCGTGTCCGCTTTAATGTGTCTATTTTTATCTCGCGATCATTATTTCGAGTTGAAAAAGCGTTGCCGAGCTTTAGAAACGACGAGGAAAGAAATTTTCTTTATGGCAAAATAAAATTTACGTGCGAGGGAGGAGAATGTTTGTTACCGCAATCATAATTACATACGTGTGTTCTTCAAATTGGCGTAATTGAGAATTTCGTCTCGACTTAAAAAGTCTTGTCTTGTATTTTTTCTCTCTAACGACGACGATGCGCTATTATTAGCGAAATGTTGAAAGAAATTCGCGCAACTGTCCGGAAATTCCCACGACATTCGCGCGCGCTGGGTCTCGCATCAATTTATCTACTATCATTCCGCGACAATATGCGCGACATCGGCCAATTAACATACAAAAGAGGCGCTATTAATCGAAAGTTGTCATGCGACGACGGCAACACACGGTTAAATAAAACAACGACCACTCGAAATATTTGTAAGACAAGAAGCTGATTGAGGAGGGAATAAAAACTCTCGACGAGATTTTTCTCAAATATCTAGAATGACGATGCATCTTGCGAAAAATTTAACATTCTGCTAAGAAAGCAGAGATTTGAAACCTCGAAGAAGATAGACGATCGGCGAATTAATTAATATATCGCGATACATCGGCTTTGCGATGAATCTTGAAATCGAGATATTAAAAATCGATCGATCAAGGAGATACATTACTTTGTGTAAATTTTCATCGCAAAAAGAAATCGCCTCGGAAAGAAGTTATAAACGATGCCGAGTCGCGAACGAGAATTCTTATGAACAAGTATGAGGAACCTCATTGACTTTCATGCTAGATATTTACGTCGGTAAAGGAGTCGGTGGAGCACGGGAATGGTACTGCAAAAATCCTCGGAGAATATGCGGACAGGAATTCATATTTTATCGGGTGATGGCCGCGCGTTTTCGATCCATATATTAACGTTAGTCGCGCGCTTATTACGCGCGTCAATGCGACTTCCCCGAATGGATAATTTCATTTCGCTGGTAATTAATAATGATCGACGCGCTGTCGTCGCGCTCGTCCTTACTTGCCGAAGCGAATAAATCGGATCGTGTTTCGTAATACGAGACTAAGTAACGTTTACCGCGGATTGCAAAAAAAGAAAACAAAAAAACAGATAACATTACATGTTTCTCTATGCTGATTGTGAATTCGATAAATTGATAGTGTATCCAATTCAGTATCGGGTATCCACTGTCAACTGATACGAATTAATCAAAGAACATTGAAATTGCAGCTATACAATGATTTTTTTTTTGTAAATTATATTACAATATTTATCGTAGTATAAGAAATTACCTCTCGATGAAATTTGATCTCATGCTGCACGGTGTATTACGACAACTTCAAGTCCTATGAAACGTCGTTTCATATTGTGCAACCTGCAATTAATTCACGCTTATCAGGATTAAATTTTGAAAGTGTAATTGTGTGATAGAGGCAAGGTTGATTCTAGACTACGCCTAAATAAGTGACGTAATAATTAATGTTTGCAAATTAAAAAACATATGAGTGCATTTTTCATTAATTGCATATAATATATATTTAAAAGAATAATAAATAGTTATAGAAGAATAAAATGATAATAGACAAGTCTAATATAATTCGAGAAGAATAAAATAATACAGAACAGAAAAATATACATATATTATATGTGTGTGTGAAAGTGTAAAATATACATGATGCAGCATTTTTTGTTTGTAAAGTGTTTATATTAAGCGCAAATTTCACTGCACTATAATTAAATTGTGTCTAATCGACGTGTTCAATATATAATGTGTGTCGTTCAATGTATAATGTAGCGCGTTTTCGTAACATGTGCAAAATTCAAGTTGACGTAACAACGATGGTTTACTGCTTTCGCGGAGATAAAATCGTCGCATAAATGATTAACAATTGCGCCAACTTGCATGTTCGCAGGTTGTCCTGTCAGCGTGTAGCACATATTTCGACACAATTTTATCACAATACGAGGAGAAGGATCCCATTGTCATCATGCGAGATGTCAAATTTTCCGACATCAAAGTACTCGTCGAATTCATGTATAAGGGAGAGATCAACATCGATCACGTAAGTATCACAATTATCTATAAATGATTTTTTTAATATCGTATCTTGTCGATTTTTTAAATTTCGAAACCTGCTCGAGAAATTTACGGGGAAGTTTAAAAAATAATTGTAAGCGATATTTTTCAGGTTATCATATTTAATGAATATGCACGAAGGGAAGGTAAAATTTGTGATGAAGCGAAAGCAATCTTCGCGGAAGGAATTAGAGAGATAGAAATTATGAGATTTTTAATAGGATTAAGAGGGCTAAAAAACTCGAGACGCAACATTTATATCTAAAACGCTATTTAAAACGCTAATTAAATATTATCGACACAATGTGGAAATTTCTCGTTTATAGATATATCTTAAATATATTTTCACTCGGTGCTCATTAACGTTGCTGTTTGCGGCGGGCATTTTATTACATCGCCGTGAAATAAAGTTAAGCAGTAAAAACCCGGGACAATAATTCTTTGCCTTCTTCAGCACTTTTCCAATAACAACAATTTCGCGTAGATAAGAGTCACCGTGCTGTGTGACAGCTATAGTTAACGAGAGAACTTTACGGTGCCTATTATCTTGCGAAAAGCTAACATTTCTCACTCATACTGACGACGACCGTAAGTTCGAATGCGCCGCGACATGTTATGACAAGACCATCGTGTATATACAAAAGTACGTGTCGAGAATATCGACCTGTCAAAATAAATTCTTATAGTCCGGAAAATCAACAAAAAATAAAGAAGTAATGATATTCAAGCCAAGAAATCAATAAAGATATACGATTGTGCCTGATACTTTGATGAATTTAAAATTGATTTTTTTCTCATATGAAAATATATTTCGAAAAGAAAGAGATATTTATAATAACATAAAATCAAATTTTTTAATTTAAAATGGATTTGAATGGAAATTTGAATAAATGTTAATTCTTAATAGATCGCATATAAATCATGTTGATCTTTTATCAATATTTTAATAATAAAATATCTCGAAATTCTTAATCGACAAAAAAAATAGAATTTATTTTTTAATATTTATTGTACATGTCATTTTTTACAGATGTCTAGGAATAAGTATATATACATTTTTATAGATTTTTAAAAAATATTTTGAGATAAAACTGCGACAAGACATTATAACTCATATGTGACTAGAAACAGCAAGACAAATAACAAGGATTAAAAATCGAAAAAAATGTACGCGTGTTAAAAATATTATGAGGAAAAATCAATTTCGAATCATTAACGAAGATTTATCGTATGAAAACTGATATTGTATGAGCACTGATAATACATTACTTCTACATATTTATATATATTTATAGCATGACAAAAGTTCCTAATTACATAAATTGTTTAATAAATTTCGCTAATTGTTTTATCGTAATCCTTGAAAGACTTTTTAGCCGTGGATTATGGAGAGAGCTTGCACTTGGCAAATTTAATAATAAAGCTACGGATGCATCAGATAATCCATGAAAAGTTGCTTATATTTATAAGTTATTGCACTTGCATCTGGTTCTACGAACCAGACATTCCAGCATCTTTTGCGATATTATTATATTTTCCTATGCTTTCAATTTTAAGATTGTCCAAAGTAAATATTCAATGAAAATTGCTTTTCTAAGATCTATTTCCCTGAGATATATCTTCAATATTTCTCTTGTCTTTTTGACATAATAGTTTAATCCATTTAAAATTGTCCATCCTCTTTCTTCTATCTTATTGATTAATACTCTTCCTTCTCTATTTATCACCTTGTCTCTTGAGTTTCTAGATTCTCCCTCTTTTTCTTTTTTCTTATCTTCTCTTATTAATCCTCCTCTATTTCCCGTTCTTGCATTATAATCTCCTATTACCAAATGTTTTTCTTTCTCTTCTTGTATATATTCCGTTAACATAATAATTTAATCTATTTGACAATTCTTTACTATGTTTTCAATATTGAAATTTTCATAAATCATATATTTATAATACATGTGTTTCTTTGGGATTTTTACCAAGAATATCTATTTAATTTTCGAAATATCTTATAAACTATTTATTTCAAACATTTCACATCAAATTTATTTCTAACATTTCTTCATGCATTTCTTGTTATTATTATAATTTCTTTGATATATCTTGATTTTGATCAAGGTATATTTTTATATCTTTTGATGTTCAATTTTCAGATATTTTGTTTACAGTAATAAATTACTTATTATTTTTTATTTTTATTTTTGAAATAATTTAAAGTTTAATGATTTAATTATTTAAGAAATTTTTAGAAATACTTTATTGTTAGTCTTTTAATTTTCAAAATCTTCTATCTATTATACATATTCAATATTCGATAGTTTTGATACTTGAAAGCTCTCTTGTATTTCTCTTCCTCTCTTTTTCTCGAAGCTAATGATTTTTTGAATCTTTAGATATAAATCTGTGTTTTAGAAGAAAGAATTCTTCCTTGATTTCTAATCGTGATGATGCAGTCGCAGTCGCAGTCGCGCGAGCTTTCTCCGGCACGTTTTGTGTCGCACAAGCCTAATCGCGAAAAATCGCCGAGTGAAAATGCACGGAGCCCGATCCCGGATTGAAGATTGGCGGCGCGACGATTTAAGCTCTCCATTTGATCGGAATAAAGCGCTGTAGAGGAGGGGCCAGAGAGATTTTACACGGTCTTAGATCGAACTTTTGCGTCACGCGAAGCACGCCGTTCTTTTTTTCCCGTGGTCCCTTTTCTTATGCTCGTTCTTCGTTTCTGCGCAAACGAGAAATGAGAGAGAAAGAGAAGGAGAGAGAAAGCGGCGATATTTCTGAAATACATTATTTCACGATGGCGGTAGCGGCGATGCTGACCCACATAGGCATTTTTCCAATTCCGACCGTGGCCGATAGAAAGCCGCGCCGCGCGTTTGTAGAAAGTTCCCATATTATTTAGCATTCGGTCGCGAGCGTGTGCCATTGCTATTGCTTTTGTCGTTGAGAAGCAAGTAATAATTAGGATTTCCCGTTCCTGCAAACCCCGATATGTGCTCACGATTTTTTTTCCGTTTGATTTGTCGTGCGAATTTTTCTACTTCTGCAGACGAGAGATATCCGTACGACGTGTACGGATATCTTTATTTCCGGAGAAAAAGGAGAGAGATCCGGAAAAAAATCTGTGAGAAAAAATAATACTCTGGTGAAAATAAATAAGCGGTTTATGCCAGCGACGTAAAAATAATGGATCTGCCTTTCATTTTTATTTTTCCCCTCTTTACGTGTTTCAAATTTATAAAAAAAGGGAGAAAAAACACGTTGTCTAAATATATATCTGTCTTTGTAATTACAGAATAATTAAACATTTCTAATAACAACCCAGCTCATTTTTGCGTAAAGTATTTTATACGATAAAATATTTCTATAGAAAACTTTAAATTTATATTAAATTAAATTTATATTAAATTAACATTAAATTTATATTAAATTAAATTCTTCTCTTAAATTTTACATGTAAATGTAGAGTATATATGTGTACGTATTATACATGTAGTCACGGCGGATGAGTACGATTACGAAGAAAATCGGTGTCCAAATGAAAAACGCGCTCATTTACTTATTTCCGCTCATTTCAACCTTACCGTTCTTTCCTTGTAAAGAAGCGTTTATTCTTATTCCCCATTGCTTCTTATTAATATCATTAATATTAACGACATCCGTATAATTATCATCTTAATATTTTATCATTACGTTTGCCATTATTCACGCTTTACTATATATGTAGTTAAAACACTTTAGTACTTGAAATGTTAACATTCAGGCATTTAATCGATAACGTATTGTTAACATATACATACATATACGTTAACGATAACATATATTTTTATATATGCAACGTTATAAATATTTTATTATGCGAATTTATAAATAAGTAATTAATTTTTTTCTACAACTAAAACAGAATTAATGAATTTCGCAACACTGTATAATTCGCATCTATTTACGTATCTGCTTTATGCTTTTTTTCCGAAACATCAATTTTTATCTTTAATTTCGCTTATTCTTTCTTATCGATATTCATGTTGTAAAAATTTTAAAAATAATAATTATAATGTTAATTATTATGTTCTAATTTTATACTATAACAATTATAATGTATTTTTCATACTATGCAAAATATTACAATAGCGATAATAATTACAATTATAATTATACATGAGAATAATTTTACTTAAGTAATTATGTTAATTATGTTAATTACAAAAATTAGAGACGAGTGATAACATTCGATATTTGTTTATTTATTTATTTATTTATTTTTTTTAATAGACGAGGCTGTCGTCGTTACTGAAAACCGCAGAGGATTTACACATCAAGGGGCTCGCCGAGGTGAGCTGGCGCAGTGATTCCACGCAAAACGACTTGAACAACACTGGTCACAGTCCTGGCGCCGCTACCCCCGGTGTTGAGACGGTCCTACGGGAGGGTGAAGAAGAGCCGCCACCTCCGAAACAGAGACGCAGAGGTCGTCCGCCTCTGGACGACCCACCCTCGGCACACGACGTCTTCACGCCTAAGATCACTTGCATCACCGGAAATGTACGCAATTCGAATCTCTAAAACACTATCGCGGGCTGTGCGCCCGATGCCTGTGTAAGAATCGGTGCAGTTATGCCATAATAATTATATTGTAGCATTTAGTGAAATTCTAATTTATATATTAATTAAATGTTGTAATTAAAAAATTATTATATAATATGTATATATGTATGTATGTGTGTGTGTGTGTATGTGTGTGTTGTTATAATTATAATTTATTTTATTACGAATTTTTTCTTCAAACTTTTATGCGCGTATTTCAATTGACAAAAACTTTTGTTGGTTCTCTCTTCTTTTAAATAAAAGAATATATCGATCAGTATAAAAATGTCACGAGAAATAAAACATTGACATCCTCTTTGTCTCGTCACAATTTATTTAAAATAATAATAATAATAATAATAATAATAATAATCTCATTTATAATTCATACGTAGATTTAATTATTTATTTAATTATTTTTATATTTATATTTAATCTTTATTTTCATTTATAATTGACCGATATTCTAAGAATTACATCGCGAATGAAAATCTTAAAAGTCTTAGTTTATAAAACTCATGTTAATAACAAAACATATGTTAATAATTCAAAACTATTTTATTGATTGTTGTGTAACGTAAATATAAATTGCCAATTTTGTCTTTTAATTTAGACTTTATTTTTTGCACAAAACAGGCGGACGTGTGTTGTCAGATAAATTTCTGTATCATGTTACACGAATCATTTTACATCTATAATGTTTGTCCGATCAAAATTCCTAAAAACCAGAAATACTAAAGTATTAATAAAGTTTAGTTTTGATTAAAAAACACGATTCAATATACATAATGCACGTTTAAAAAAAAAATCTATCGCTGCAATATCATTTCGTTGTAACGGCACCGAGCCTTACGCATGCGAAATACTTGAGATAAGCAGATTTACGGGCTGATCCTTGTCGTGAATGTAGAAATTGGAAAATTTTGTTAGACTCGCAGCGGCGGGTATTACACATACGCGGGGATACCCACGCACGACTCTAATGTGTCACGTCGAACCTTTTCCCAGGAGGAAATGATGAGCGAGGGCGGCGACCATGAGAGTTGGGACGACGAGATGATGATGAACGAGAATAACGAAACGCCAGTGCCGGTGGTAAGGCCAATTAGATATGATTCTTCTTTTCTTCTTTACTTGGATACACGCGCATAATTAAATCAGGCAATCATCAAGAGAGATCTCGTTCTACTTTTTTTTCCTACTGATTAGATTATTTGCGTAAATATTCTATTCAATGAATTTAACGATGTTTTTTATCCTTTTTTTAGATATCCTACATGTCCAAGGATGATAGTACATCTGATCAAGAAAAGAAAGGTACATAATTTTTGTACTTGTATTTTAGCAAGTAGCGTATTTTTTTCTATAATTGATTGGATTGATTCTAGTGTAGACCTAAAAAAAAGCCTATTTTTAAACAGGTTTAATATATATGACTTACTATTTTTGCAATTTCTTGAATAAAAATTCAATAAGAAAACTTATTTTTTTAGGAATTCAAAATAGCAATCTCTCTTTTTCTATACAAATATAAATTCTATCGAATCTTTTAAGAGAAAATTGTTTTGACTTTCTTGATATTATCATATTACACATCATTCATTTTGTCGGTTTCGCGGTTAAACAAATATTTGTTATTGCAGCGCCTAGCACTCCATCAAACTCCAACGCCTCGAATCTGTCGATTCCCGAGCAATTCCGGGACGTGGTAAAAATGAACGATTATCTGACAACGGGACGCCGACAAGAGTTTTGGGAAGAACCGTTCACGCGACGTGTTATGGACGCCATCAAAAGCAAAGAATTAGAGATGAAGACTGCCGCCGAGATCCTCGGCGTCTCCTATGGCACTCTCTATGGCAGATACCGCGACAGTTATGGCTGCCTTAAACATCCATACAGGTAATAGACACGTAGATGAAAATCAAATTATAAAATAAAGGAAGAAATAACATTTTCACAAAAAAGCGCGATAATAATGCAAAGTCAATCTTTTAGAGTAAGGGATTTCTGGTCTGAACCGGGCCCTGCTGAAGTGTTAGCGAAACTGCGGCGGAAGGAGATTACCTTGTTCCGAGCTGCCGAGTTGCTCAATGTGACCGTCCATACGCTCGCGACATACTTGTCGACCCTGCAAGGTCCAGACAGGATCTCGTTGGCCGGTGATTTGGCATCCGGCGGTAACATCGACGGTGGCAGTAGCAACAACGCGACGACGATGGAGTCGGCGGCAACGGAAAACAATGAATCCGTCAACGACATACTGCAGAAGATCAACGCAAACGCGGCGACCGCGGCAACGTTGACCGCAACTACGACGTCGATTAAACGCGAGGGTGGCGGTTATATCGAAGTAATGTCGACAACAGTGCCGAAAGCCGCGACGTCCATGCTGGAGAACAATCCGGACATCACGATCGTCAAGTCAGAGAACACGCCGCGCAAACGTGATTACGCGAAGATGCCCAACGCGGAAAATAACAATGCGAAGCTGATGAGCGGTGGTGCCGTCAGTGAGGTCAGTCAACAGCAGCAACAACAACAGCCACAAAAACTCGCTGATCCGTTGTCATTGAATAACGATAACAGCAAACCCTAACTATTCAGACCATATCTAATACCCACGACAAATCACCATCATCACCATCACCCCCGCAGTGCAGCGCCGAACAATGCCAACTACAGATCCGACCTGCAGTGCCCGCGCAGTTTCTATTCCAACATGTTTACGCGTTTTCTCACGAATTTTCATTTGAAATAGATAGGAAGGAACACCGCTGCTCCGTGCAATGATGCCAGAATGGATACGCCGGTAACTGAGAGAAAGAGAAGTAGAGAAGATGATGCATACGAACGAAAACCGTATATGTGTGAGCTCAGTGAGTCATCTTCGCTCGTGTGCGTCACCTTCTTCACTTCCCCTTCTCTCAGTTACCAGTATATTCATTCCTGCATCACTGGCTTCGCGCACGTCCGATTTCAAAAAAATAATAGCTTTAGACAATCTCGTGTGTAATCAATTGCGATTGATTGATGGGGAGTCATGACTGACGTTGGAATGTAAGAACAAATTTCAAATCTCATCTGGCGATTTACAAGGAAATCTCACGAACTGGAAAATTCTGATAAAATTTTAATAAAACTTATATATAAGGTAAATGGACTTATATATATAAGGTAAATGGAAATATAGTCGATATATCGCGAGATTGCTTAATTTATTTAATTTTAAGAAGGCTTGACGAAATTATATCCGCTGACGAAGTTATAGCCATTTACCTTATATATAGAAAACACACACACACACATACACACACACACACACACACACACACACACAGAGAGAGAGAGAGAGACAAGGGGAAGGGAGGGAGAGATAAATAAATGAATTTAGAAATTTTGTTGCGACCCAAAAAAAATGATTATAAGAAATGAAACCATCATATGTAAAGCTTTTTGAGACTGGAAATTTTTAAATTTGTCTATTTACTCTCGCTCTCGACATATAAGTTTCATTATAATCAGAGTTTTTCAGTTCACGAAATTCTCTTGTTAGAATAAATAAGAAAGAAATGCCATCGAAAGTATCATAACAATTTCGATAAAACGGTAAGAGCACACTTTGTCATGCTTTTGAATCGATTTCCACCGACATGATCATGGCTTTATCATGTATTTTCCATGTGCATAAAAAAATATTATATTGTAAAATATACTTTTAAATAATTAACACTCAATAACGTGAATTGATGCAAAATTTTTCCTTCCATTTTATCTTCAATAAATCAGTTCACTTTGATCACACACATCGGTAGCGCGCGTGCAATCTTGGCCTTCGTGAGGAAAAAAAAATAAAGAAACAAAAGAAAAGCGTATAATAAAAAGTTCAATCGAAGTTCCTTTTGAATAACGATGTAGAGTGTATTATCGCAAACAAAGAATGCCTAGACTATTTTCTGCCGCATGTGTCTGTATGGTAGCACGTAAAGAGCGACAATATATTCACCACAAGTAGATCCATCATAGTATAATACACATCTCCTAGAGAGCAAAAAGGAAAGATAAAACAGAATGTGACAGTCCTTTAACGTAGATATGTTCCTCATGCGATTTATCTCAGGATCGCGTTAGGAGCACATTTCTTTTAATGTTAATTATTACGAACATGAAAATTTAAATCATAATGCGTATACTATTGGAAGAAGTGTCTATTCGCACGATATGGAAGAAGATACACAAAGAGATTCTCTCTTCAAAGAGAAGACGATCGTAGATAGTATTCTCAGCCGACGATATTTGTATTTAGAAAAGTATTTAGAGAGAGCGAGAGAGAGAAAATCGTCGTTTTGTTAGACTGCACGTGCCCAATAGTAAATCGTTTATGATTTAAATAAATTTTCGCAATGAGCCTTAAACGTTAGAGTACCGGTCTCTCTATGTTGATTTGCCGAGGATTTATTTACGTACACCATCGGATTTTTTGGAGAACGATCTAGATCAATTAGGCAGAATAACTTGAGTTTTAAGAAGGCGCGATTAACATAAAGACATTTGCAGTTAGCGGCAATTTTCGCGCGTTATATGAAAATTCAGAAAATAAATCGCAGCAGCTGCCTTGTTTTTTTAATAGTATTCAGAATATGATTGTCTATTTACATGTATACAATTTTATTTTGTTTCTTTTTTATATCAGTATGTAACGCTGCATAGCACGTTTTAGAAACAATTATTATGTTTATTATGTGTATTAAATGTTTTCTTTGTTTTTTTACCAGCGGGAATATTTTTAGTGGTTTTTATTTGAATAATAAATATCGACCGATATCAAAGATTCAGCAATCGATTGAAATAAATACAAAATATAAACGTCCATTGTAAATATCGGTGCAATATGCAGAGAAGATATCTAAAAATTAATATTATTTAATATGAAAGAGAGAGAGAGAGAAGTGTCCGAGCACTATTTTAAAAAGAAAAAAAAAAAAGGGAAGACTTTCCTGTTTTGTGCAATCACGATCGGTAAATTATTGTAAAAAATAACACGGGAGAACGATATTGATACGATAAATGGCATTGTCAACGATGGCTAAGGGCACTATGATAATGCCATGGTATCATCGTTCTCCCTATTTATTAATACGACCCCTATATGAATTATGAATCCCTATATGAATTATGAATACGATTCCGGTTTATTTTATTTTGATTCTAAGCAATTCGTAAACGCGGTGTTTATGTTAAGTTAGATAAACAAATGGGAAGCTATGCAGAGACTACCGCGCGCTATACATATATATATATAAATATATATACATATACAATAATTGTACTCTACGAGATATTGACTGGAAATGAGTATTCCTTGAAATTCGCTGAAAATAAAACTAAGTAAGAAGACTAGTAGTATAATAGAGGTATTTCTGGATGATATTTTTCGATGATATAAGACTTAGTTGCATTGAGAGGAGATTTATTCTCGCGGTGGGTACTTGTAAAGTAATCCAAATAGAGTAATCTGTACGTGGTATAGATGAAAGAAGGAAATAATATTTCTTTTCGTCGTCGGAAATTTTAATATGACGAATAGAAAAAAATGGATAAAAAGGAACTATATATCGCGAGACGTGTAAATATAACGGTGTATAATATATAATACAACAGTGACGCGCATTCCTTGTATGCGAATGCAAAAAAAATGTATGTATCTCTCTCTTTCTAAATGAATCCCGAAGTCGACTGATTATTAAAATAAAACAAAAAAATAAAAAGAAATGGCATAGTGATAAGTACATTGAGATTCTCAATTAAGTATGAGGCGCATTCGGACATGAAATATACATACGAGCATACACACACACACATACACATACACTTGCTATTCTGTATTTTACGACAGAATATATTTCCAACAGACGCGTTGATAATTTAGGGGTTGAATAAAAAAAATTATATATTTAACATGAAATAATTTTAGACATTGGAAGAGTTAAAGTCTTTCGATTACTTTACGAGTGCTCCGGACCGATTATTTTTATCATACATAAATATATAATTTTATAATGCAATAACGTTTTTACGATAATTTTATTCGTAACTTCTTAAATGACACAAGAGATAAAAAAAAAAGAAAAAAAAAGATCTGTTCATTCTCATCATTTAATTTAATACTTTTCTCATTGTACTTCTCTCTCATCAAAACTTTGTATTAAGTGAAGGAGTAACTTTCTCCCTTTTCTCTCTTCTATATATATTTTTTCTTTTTTAAATAAAATAAGACTAAGACATACCAAATGAAAAATGTAAAGGTGAATTATTAGGTTAGTATCTATCGCATATCAAGAAAGCAAAAAAATACATGCGCTGGTACACACTGTATTTGCCTATGGCGTCCAGATATATTTATATCTGGGACGCGCGAGACCACTTTTACTCTAGCGAGAGTATACGACTAGAAGTATTAATATTTAATAATGATAATTTACACACACATATATATACATATAAATGTGTACATTATATATATATATATATATATATATATATATATTATATATATATATACACACACATATATATGTATATTATGTATGTATATTATGTATGTATGTATAAATATTGATATTCAAATGGATGGTCATGTTTTTGAAAATTATCCTTGAGCCACAGAACAAATAAGGAATATTTTTAAATCTTTTTGGAGATATTTTAATTTTATTAACTTTAGTATTATTATTTATGTTTTGTTATATTATTATATGTTATATGAAGCTTTATAAATTTATTATTTATCAAATTATATAAATCTATTATATAAATTAATATTAATAATAAATATTAATGTTATTAATGTATATTATTTATGTATATATAACATTATATAATAATCTAATGTATACAAAATTTGACATTTGCTATGAATTTTCATTGAAGTACAAAATATATCGGTTTTCCGATGAAAAATGAACTCACTTTTTAGGTATCATTATATAAATTATATGTTATGTAAAATCGTATGTTCAAAGACTGATGGCCATTCATTTGGAGATTCTTGTTTCATAAGCACGCATAGAGTGTGGAAATGTTTTTTTTTTCAAAAAGAATGAAAGAGAGAGTGTGTGCGAGTCAGTGTAGAGTGCGTGACTGCGCGATCACATATTGTGCGAGATGACAGGACAAGACTATTATTATATTAGCCTATTGGCGAACGACGCGCCTGGAATGTGTGCCCTGGAACGTCGTACCATGAGACTAAAAAAAATCGATATATCATAATTATGTGTCGTTTGATATAAACGAGTATAGTAACGAATATAGTATGTATCATCGTTTTATACACAATCTAATTAAAAGATATCTCAACGTACACTATGTACATTCCTAGTACACACACACACATACACACACACACGCGCGCACACACACACACACACACACCCACAGGATGTCTCAGACCACCTTTACACCCCTTTTAAAATAAAAATAAATGGCTTTTATCAAAAATCGCGAACAATTTTTAAATAAATCGGGTACGCTCTATCAAATGGTGATATTTTCAATTTTTGATTCCGACCAGAAATATGCCACACAGAATTCGAATTGTGAAAAAAAAGAACTTTTGTATCAAACGTTTTTTCCTGAAAGTGCCTCTGTCAATCTTAAAATTGATATAAAAATTGACCTTGAAAGTTTCATCAAAGTTACTTTCAAGGTCAATTTTAAGAGCACTTTTTAAAAAAACGTTTGATACGAATTGAAAAGTTTCTTATTTTTTCATGTACAATTCAAATCTGTAATAAAAAGTACCATGTTCCCCTAAAAAAATTCAACTTCCGATCCGGATGGCGTATTTCCGGTCGGAATAAAAAGTTGAAAATATCACCATTTAAATAAATTTAGATAAATTAGATAACGTTTAGATAAAGCATACCCGATAAACAGAAACATTTAGATACAGCGTACCCGATTTACTTAAAAATTGTTCGCGATTTTTGATAAAAGTCATTTGTTTTCATTTTAAAAGGGGTGTACGGGTGGTCTGAGACACCATGTGTGCATATATATATATATATATATATATATATATATATATGTATGTATGTATGATGTATGTACGTATGTATGTACGTATGTATGTATGTACGTACGTATGTATGTATGTATGTACGTACGTATGTATGTATGTATGTATGTATACATAATATGTATATGTATATATATTACACACACACACACACACACACACACAAGTTTTTCACTGTCATACACGTTGCATTACACGTGCATAAAGAGAAGAGGACGCATGGACCTATTATACATGTATACATGTGTATATAAATATAAATATAAATATATATATATATATATATATATATATGTATATGTATATATGTATGTATGTATATTTATATATATAAAAACATATATAAATATATTTATAATTATAGCTATTCCAAAAAAACGGACCACCGCGATATCGACGTTTGCGAATGATCATTAAATTAATGCAAATGAAATCCATCGACGATACTTATATGCGCATTAATCATCGGCATTATTCATTATCGTCATAATCATCGGTAATAACGACGTCATGTCAGAGCGTATTTCGTTGAATAATACGCCTGGTTATACGGAGTGTCTCATGTATAAACGCACGAACAGCGAAATCTATCGATCTGTCTGCATAAATAATATTTCTAATAAACACACACACATTCATACACACGCATACATTTAAACGCAATAGAGAGAGAAAGAGAGAGAGAAAAAAAAAGAGAGAACAAAATATATAAATATAGTTTTACAAGATGGCTTCGCCAGCCACCCCCTTTAGTTTTATACCTGAGACACAGAAAAGGCTGAAAAGCGATTAGCCGATAATACTAAATGAACCTTGAGATATCCTAATGTAAAGTACATTCTTTCACCGATGAACGGACATTGTACACATAAATACATAGCACGACATTTGCAAAAACAAATACACACATCTTGTCGAGCTCATTTATATAACTCTCAAGACTTTGTACCAATTTCTCTTTATTTAGTTGGACATTTCGAAATTGGAGAACGCGATAGCGGATCGAGCCGACGTCGCGCTCTAAAACGCGAAATGTCAGTCTCTTAGCCAAAGTTAGAATTTGCGTTTTTTTTTTATCTCTTAGTATCTTTTCTTTTTTGTCGTTTCCTGTCGACCCTCCCTTTTTTTCTTCTATCCCTCTACAAGTTATACGTACATACGTACATACATATATATGTGTGTGTGTATGTATGTATTTATATTTGACACTTTTTTATCATGAATGCTATTAATTTTAATTATAATTTCTCTAAAGTATATATAGATATGTATACTTATCTTTAATAATCGTGGTAATTCTTAAACTTAGAAGAACAATATATTTAGCGGCTATAGAGATTGAAGTATACATACATAAAAGTGAAGTATATATATACATATATATATATATATATATATATATATATATATATATATATTGATAAAATAATTAAGATCGCAAATTAGAAATCGGGATCGAGCGCATGTAATGTGCCGTAAGGACAACAATCGGTATATTTACCGTAAGAAATATTAAAGTCTGGTGTGTATAGACACCACATACACACGTACATATACATATAAGCAGCCTTGTATAGCCGAACGGTATTCGAGGGGCTGTTATCTCGCGAAGAATATTCATTGATTGAACAAAAGACGAAGATCAGTAAGTGTAAATGTTTGTAAACAAATTATGAAACATTATTTGTTCAGTGCCTACATATTTACACAGTAATAATAAAGATGAAGATTAGTGAAAAATCACTTGAATCTTTTTAATTTCAACTCCTTTCTTTCTTCGATATAGCTTTGTTGAAAATTTAAAAACCTATAAATAAGTTTTTGATGAAAAAAAATTTATATCCTTATATATTTTATAAATGTTCACACAAACTTGTGCAATTTAAGAATAATTGATGTGATTACACGGTATAATGATCTAGTGTTTCATATATATTTAGCATAAATATATTCGAGTTTTGTTCATTAAGAAAAGTAATGTGATGTATCTTTCATAATGTATCTATTGTCTTCGAAAAAGCAAAATATTAGTTTTGATCATCATGTTGTTTCTTATCGTTGCGTTTTACGCGGAAGCATAAAAGCAGCTAAATTTAAGTCCTTCCCCTGTCTCTCCTTATTCACTAACTTCTTCCTCTGGATGTACTATTCTAAGGATATAGTATCACAAATTGATAACGCCTAACAAAATACAAATAAATGAAAACGTATCAAAGAGAAATAAACGTGTTTATAATCGCGATAATCTATGAGTTCCCTCTTTTCAACTTTCATTTTACAATCGGGCAATGGCAAGATTGGCTAGCCACTAAAATAAAAATAAATTTGTACGTTAATTTAAAATGGAAAATCTCGTTTCTATTTAAAAATAAAATATAGACACACATGTTATCTTATTGCGTCAAATCCTGCAAATCACTCTCGTATTTGATCGATGCAAAACACGATTGAATAATAATATTGAAAGATATCGAAAACAGTGTGTTATAAAATGTATGTCGGAGATTGTAAAAGTGAAGACGAAATGTTCACGTGCTCGTTTAGTGTCAAAGATCGCTTGATCGATCATCATCGACGCGTGCCAATCCACCTGGTACGCATTTTCGTCGGCGTCTTCTCTTTCCAGGAAACGCCGAAACGCTTTTATCGTGACGAGGTCGTAATAAACAAAGCGTCGAATCGGCAGTTTTGATTTGTAGCACTTCGTCTCTTTTTTCTTCGCCGCAACATTTTCCAACGCTCGAGCCTGTCGCTGATACGTCGAATACGAGAGAAGAGTCCCACTCTCCCACCACTCGACTATGAGTAGGGGCACTTGACTTCGAGGCCTCGAGGCTCGAGCTCGAGTCCCTTTCTCAGTCTTATCGGTATCGGTATCAGTGGTAGACGGAGAGTCACCAAACGTCGGTTGGTATATTTTGCTCGCCTCGCTGAAGCTATCCATCCGCAAGAAATACCAAGTTCCTTAAAGTTCGCGCAATAGAATCGGCTACGAAAGCGTAGCATATTAACGGATCATGTGCGTCATGTTGCCAATGCTGCAGGAAAATTCTTTATTCCCGTTTAATCCCAGTTTGGACGAAGAGATAAAGCGGCTGTTCGACATCGCCATAAGCAAGAGGCCACAGCCGAATGGTATGTTGTATCTTATTATTGTTGATCTCTGTATTATTTATGTATAAATATCTAGAGTTACTGAAAATCTGTGCTATTGATAACGGGGTTTTAGGAACGTTTATAATTTTATAAATTTTTCATTCTCGCCTGAGAAAGTTTGATTTTAGTAATTCTTGTTGTGACTATTTGAAAGTTATATATTTAATCTATCTATAATCTACTTATAAGCTAAATGCTAATTAATAATTCTTTATAGTAAATGTTTTCTTTTATATTTTGTATTTTTTTTGTGTAAGAAAGAAAACAACACTCCAACGCATTTATTATATCTCAGGTATACTTTTAGACTCTTTTCTTAAGAACACTTAAAAAGAAAGAATAAACTGTGAATGTATGTGTTATTATTTTTATGGTATTTTATGATCGACTAGAAAACAAAAATTTCAAAGAAATACCCTTATATAACTTGAGAAAAAATTTAAATTTTTATATTGGCTGTGCATTGAAGATCTTTTTTTTTCCTTGCATCTTTTTGCAGTTATGCGTTAAGAATTTGAGGGACATATGTGTTTTTCTTTTTTTAATTCTATTTATTATAGTTGGTATCTTTTTCTTCGCTTAAAACTTATATCTTATAAAATTATTTTATTTTAAATACGATAAGAATATAATCTCGAATCAAAAAATTTTTTAAAGTTTCTGGAGATTTTTAATGCGATAAATAGACAACATCGGTAACAAATTTAATGATATAAAAAATTAGAAATTTAAATTTGTCTTGTGCGGCAAAATAATTTAGGATTCGCAGTGTAATAATAAATGTGAAATAGTACATTTGTACCTTTTTACCGTTAAAAATATTTGTTACCTCACTTCAATATCATGTGTCATTTATGATTCATCATCAACTTAATAATCGCATGAAATTTCGATGTGTCAGTGGTTTTGTTTAAATAGACATTTATACTATCAAATTTGTCTCGACAGAAAGTCACTAATATTTACATAAATAAGAAACCTATAAAGATTTATAAGGATTTTATTTGACAAAACAATTTCAAAAAGAAAATTTAAATTTAAATAAAAAATGACGTGGAAATCAAGATCTTTATTTTTTCCATATAAAATATATCTTTACTTGTACATATATGTTTCTTAATAGTTGATGTCGAGATGAATTCCACGATATGTAAAAGAACACAAGGCTGTCGTAGATCATTAAGGTTAAAAAAAGCAACATGTTATTAACTTCCAAAAGCAATATTTTCCAAAACAGTCTTGTATAATATTGAAAAAGTAAATTTTATTATATTTTTATTTTCCTAGAAGAATATTCGGCTAACGGTTATATGTGATTTTGAATGCACATAAGCATATAATTAGCTCTCATATTATTATGTCTCTACTTCCAAATATTTATTGAGTCTATTTTTAATCTATTTACTGGTTTTGTCTATTAAAGAATTTATTTTTCCAGGATTTTTCCATGACTCTTTACTCTGGAACTAAAGAAACCCTGTTTCTTTGCAGCCTGTATTCTTTTATTTGTGATCGTCGTCGCGACACACGGATCACGATTACGCCGATCGTAATCTCTTATCGTATCTCGCGCGCGTGCATCTTTGTGACAGCGATCGCCGGTACTCTTTGTGAAAACGGTCCGGCCGGCACCGGCGAGTTTTTATTTCACCGAGACGATGAGACAAAAGTTTGATTGAAGTTGTGCGCAAAGATGTGTTTATCTTTCGATACCGATCCCCAGTGACGTCGACGAATATTGTGCCCGGTAACACTTACAATTTAGAAACGTTCGGCTTGAGAAATGCCGTGCGTGTTTACAAATCAACGGGCGCTATCGAATTACACTCGCTTCTGCCTGCATCGTAGAAAATAGCTCGAGACTCTGCTGTTCCGAAACAAGGGACAGGATAAAAGACGCGTTTGTTGTTTTCTTTTTTTTCTTTATGGACTACTCGCCTCTCATCGTACGTCGCATTTCGTTTATTAAGAATTGATCCTTGATCTAACGCGGTTATATTGAGGGCGATTATAATTTGTGATATATATATATATATATATATATATATATATATATATTTATTTATTTATTTATATTTTTGTTCAAATTTTTAACATTTTGTTCAAGATTCTCCTTCTGTCGCCTTAAATTTAAAAAAACACTTTTGAAAAAAATCAAACTAAATCTTGCGTGTAATAAATGTAAAACAGACATTTTGTACACTGATATTGTTATAAATCATTTTTTGTTATAGAAATAGCTGTGACAAATATTTAAAAAAAAAAAAAAATTTCTATGATAATATGTTTATGCGAAAGTTTCTTTTAATTCTGGGGAAATGTTGACCTAGGAAACTGGCATAAAATAGAATAGATTTTAGGATAGCATTATCAATATTTTAGGATGCTTTCAATATTTAATATGTTATCAGAATAAAGAATGTCTCATTTAATGAGATTTTTTTTGTGAGGAAAAAAATTCTAGTTTATACTTCTTGTTTTTATTTACATCTAATAATTGTAGTCTTTTTCTTATTTTATAATTTTATAATTTATTTAATTATTTTATAATTTTTTATTTATTTAATTGTTTTATATTTTTTTTATCTTTATTACAGTTGAGGAAGTGATGGAAGAATTTCGACATAATGGCCGTGACTACGAATATTGTCCAGACCACGAAGACATAACGAAACAGAGTATACCGCGACGAAAGAAGAACAAAAAACCCTTACCAACAGAATGCGTCTTTTGTAGAAATAATGGGGAAGAAGAGGCATACTATCGAAAACATCTGCTAAAGGATATCGATGGACGTGTCATATGTCCCGTTCTTAGGTATATATAGTTTAACAATGCTTAAATGCCGAATACTTTGAATTTTCAATTCAAATTTTGAAATGCATAAAGCTTTTGTTTTTATTTCGGAAAACACATCCCACATATCGCATAAGGCACAGAAACCAAGCATTTTTTGATTGATTCGTAAAAGGTAAAATGTTGATTATTGATAAGATAAAAAGAAAGAAAATTATGTTGTCTCTCTTGTCGTTTTTTAAACCTAATGTATATAAGCTTGATTATTTAAGTCCAGATTTAAATCTAATGAATAAACTGTACCCTTTGTTTTTATTGAGACGAGAATGAGAACGATTTTCACTCTTGATCTTTCGCAAGTGATCATTGTCATTCCTACATATATCTCAAATTTGTTTCGAATATATTCCTAATACGACAAGACTTTGTTTCGACGAGTTTTGAGAATAGAAGATAAATTTTATTGTTTCTAGTACTTTTTGTTCACGAACTTTTAAATTGAAATGAATTTCATGTAAATGGTAAAACATATATTTAGTATTTGTTTACAGTGCTATTTGTGTTTAGGATGTTTTCAACCAAAAATAATTTTTCAGCATAATATGTTTGAAAATTATCATTTTTTCTTCATGTAAAAACTAAAATTTTTGATCAACAGAGCTTATACATGTCCGATTTGCGGCGCAAGCGGCGATGTAGCACATACAGTTAAATATTGTCCAAAAGGTCCTTACAATCCCTGGGGAATGAGTATGCCGAATACTTTCAAGTTACTGAGAAACTCTGCGGGAAAACGTCGCAGCAAGTAAGATATGACATTTTCTATGCGGGCGATGGAATATTTTCTTATTTTTAGATAACTTTTATTTGTATTATTAATAATTAGACTTTCAGGACTTTATAAAAATTGATCTCTGCAGATTAATACCATAATTCTTAATCCAGAGTTTCTCCTGATATAAATATTCTGATATAAATTGTAAATAGATAATAATGAACATAAAAAATGTTCCAATAAATTTAAAAATAATTTAAGTTAAAAATGATGATTTCAGAAAATGTTCCAATAAATTTAAAAATAATTTAAGTTAAAAATGATAATTTCATCCAAAATAATTTCTTTTGTTTTTTATAAAATTTCCAAATAATAATATTGCGTTTGTATTTTTGCTTCATATATTAAAAAGAAGTGAGCTATAAAAAGTATTACATTTAGAAAAGATGATGTGTAGAAATTCATGAATGTACGTACTTATGTATGAAAGAGAATACCTCGTGTCACTTTTACATATAAAATTTATTTTACAGTTCTAATTTATTATTAAATATCATTTTTAAATAAAAAATAAAAAAAGAGGATAATTTTTTTTTTATTTCGTAGTTCCATCGCCCAAGCTTGAAATATCTCACGAACAATACTTTCTAAGCGCGAGATTTTCAATAGGAAGGAATAAGAAGCGGGCGTTCTTTGAGTACACATCAACTGCTAACAGAGGCTATCCTCGCATATGTCCAAATGACATCGAATTCTTAAGATAATCTATAGATTTTTAGATTTCTCTTATATACTTTTGTACCTAACATTTACATTCGTCTGTGCAGACGAGTATTGACACTCGACATGATCTCGCATCCTCGCGAATACGCTGAAACATCAGATCTAAATCGAGATCGAGACGTGACTTTAGTTAGTTTTGCGTCACCCTTCCGCATTCTTTCTGTATATTTATATAATTTATACCATCTCTCTCGCATTCTTCCTATTTGTAATATAATTCATTCCATATCATAATTCATAATAAAGTGTTAAAAAACTGCTCTGATAAAATTTTGGTTTAGAAGAAAATTTACGCGTATTTCAAGAATCGCGTGATTGGACAAATTCAGCAACATACCTAACATCAATTTTGCAATGCGTCATGATTTTAAGATTAAACGCAATTTTTTTTACATGCGCGCGATATATTTTGGCGGTGACTTCTTAGGCAGTAGAGATATTTAGAATTCAACGTGACTCAATAATATGTCATCGACGAACAAATACACGGATATTTTTTTTTTGTTAAGATGTTAATATCCTTAAGGAAAATGTGTATATTGCCTGTTGATCTATCGATAACATATAAAAGTCACATTGAAAGAATCGTGTAAGCACAAAAGAAACTAATTGCTTTTTAAATGATTACAATGCTTTTTAAATGAGTTTATTTCGATATATCTCTACCCGACTTACTTTTGTGATGACTTCTTAAGCAGTTAGATTTATGAGATTATACATTCCAAAGATCTTCTATACAGATATTTGAAGAATTCATAAGAAGAACACAATAAATCCATAATTTGTAAAATTTTAGATACGATCTCGTCGTATTTGAAGTGAATATTACAAATTATGTAGATATATTCTTATGTATTGTATGATTCTTTTTTTGAATCTGTCATTTATATTTTAATGTGCTATAAATGCGTGCCATATATTTCTACTGCTCTTCTTGCCAATACGAACAAATCAATATGATGTCAATATAATTAGAGTAACCTATAAAAAATATGTTAGATATTTTGGACGTATATAAAGATATCACGAAATTTCTGACGTTTTTCCTTCAATTTTGGAATTTGACATTTTCGAGCGCGTTTCATTGAATTATGGATTCATCTAAAAAAAAGAGATTGCAAAAAACAATATGATGGCTTAGCTTCAATATATTTGGACGAGAATTTTATATACGATTTGTTAATTGCACGCGTTCAAGTAAGAACATTCATCTCGAGTTCGAGTTCGAAATGATGAGAATAATGTGATTTTTTAAAGAAAGTTCTTATAGTTTTGTTGAAATATTTCAGTATTATATATTTATCATAGTACATTAGCCTCTCTTATATATTTTCTAATTTGGATATTTTCTCTCTCCATAGTTTAAAGATAATTAATATCAAATTATTAGTAATCAAGAATAACGTATGTTTTTATTTTAATTTATTTTAATTTATTTTTCATTATGCGACGTTCTCAACAGAACGTTTCGATTATATGATTTATCATAATTGCATCGAAATTTACCATTGTTATTTGAATCATTATTACTTAATTGTAACACTCGATTAATTTTCAAAATATTATTCATTATTTGTTTCCTTTTTTTTTTCAATTAAACGTTGTGATGATAACATGTGCCTTGTGAGATATTAAGTTTTTATAATTTTACGATATAGGTTGATGAGACATATACACATAGTTTAATACGTAATATAAAGATGAAAAATAACTATTATATAAGCGCATTTCATATGCATTTTTACGACATTTGGAATGTACATTTCGAAAAGTCTTATCGACCGACATCGATTGTTTTGAATAGGTAATAAGAAAGTGATCGATACTCTTCTACGAGCATCGCATGAGCAATGATATTAATTTAGATATCTTGTAGTATTACAAGATGTATATTTTATGAGCTTATGAATTACCATCGTAATGTTTGTTATATTTTTATACGTGTGCGAAAGCGTGTCCTTATGTGACATCAAAAATTTGTAGCAATAGTCTATAATAATTGTAAAAAATAATTTTCCCTCAAAAGTTATCTTACATGTTTAAATATACTTCCGTGATTATTTTATTTATTTTGCTTTATCAATTAGTACAAAACGAGATTTGTTCTCAATTCTATGTATTGTATGTGTTATTGCCATATCCAGAGAATATTTGGAACTGTTGTCACTGTCACAGTCTCGCTACGATCTTGTCAAGGCCATCGAAACAAAAGCTGTTATTTCTTTGTGTTTATATGTTAGGTTTTTGCTTCGAAGGTTTTGATAATTCGTAGAAGGCGCGTATGTGCTTTTTTTTGCAATGTTGACGCTTCTTTCCGATATTTCTCAAAAATTCACAAAAGGACACGCTTTCATATTTTCTCGGCATGTATATACATATTGATAAGCTTTATAAAATAATTAAAAAGAAATGATATTTGTTGAGTTTTAACAATTTAAAAATTTTCCCGTGATTGAAAAATAAAGAAATCGACTATTGTGTATCTTTTTACCGCATCAACAAATATAATAAATCTGTACATTTATTTTCTATTTAATATATAAATATACATATAATCTCTGTTGTAATATTCCTATGTATATATCTTTTCATTTCTTTTTAATAATTTTAAATAGTTTATCAATATATGTATACGAATTATATGAGAAATTTTCGCGAGAAAAATGTCAATTTTTCTTTGATATTTTTTTTTATAACTCTGTTATAAGATAAAAATTTAGTTATCGTTACAGCTTAATACTTAATATTGAAATTTAAGTTCGAAGCTTTCCTATTTTTTGTTATTCATACAGTAAAATATCAAAGAAATGGAATACAATAAGATACAGAATATATATATGTACATATACGTACATATATAGTAAATTGAATTAATTCAGCGTTGTATGCGTCAGAGCCTTTATTTCACCAAGTAAAAGCAATCAATAATTAACAATAGTTAACGATTTAATAGATTACATCACGAAATAATTAAAAGTTATTATTTACGAAGTTATGATTCTCAAGACATTTCAATCCTTGAAATACAGTTCATCTTTGAAAGAATTCTATTAATCAATTTTAATAATATAGCACTAAAAATTTTATTCTTATTATATAGTAGTTTCTTTATTATATAGTATAAACCGAATATTTTGAAGAATATACAACAATTATATACATATATATACTTGAAAAGGGTAAATTTTCACAGCATTATGTCACTTTTTTTTGATAAGTTTTTTTTTCAGGGATTGAAATGTTTTAAAAATTTAATATCAGCTGGAAAAGAAAAAGAAATAGGATAAAGCACTCGAAATTATGAAGGACGGTGCAATAAATACTTCCAGTTTTGTTTTTTGCCGAGAATTAAAGTATATAAGAATTGTTTATACTAGAAATTACGACATTACGAATTTGTTCCTATTAGAAATTAATATAATATAGCATACATAAGTATTATATTTCTAAAATTTTTGAGTGTATATAAAAGCACACATTTGTAATTTTTACTTATAAGGCATACTATTTAATAGTGCGAATAAGTCCTTACTTTTGTAAGATATGATGCGCCCTTGTACCTTTACGGCATACATTGCCAAAGCTTAAAATTATATGCGCAATTTCTATATGCCGTGCCACAACATACCGACTGATTCAGAGAGCGCGAGATGACTATAGTAATCTGAAACCGTGCAACGGCATTCTCGTAATTAATAGCAGCAGCAGGTGATAACGATTAAGGTACCAAGTAAGAAATAAATTTCATATGCATAGGCAGGAGAAATAAGCAGAAAAACTTCACAATACCAGGTTCACAATCATTTAACGTCCAGTTGCACATTTTACAGAATTGTACAAATAATTATTTTGTCGCCTTTGATGTTTATCGAGGCTCCTCCGATTAAACGTTTTTGCTTATGAGCACATAACCCAAATGATTACACACCAAACCACGAAATTTTTTGATTGGTATGATGAAGTCTTTTGGATTTTTATTTTTTTGTATCGCCGTATCAAATTTCCACTTGTTTGGAATGAATCTTGTGCATTCTGGACGTGCTTTTTTATAATCGTTTGTATTTTAAGTCTTGCGCATATTATAATTACCATTCTAATTGTATTAAGGATAATTATTATTTCTTTATTAATATGTATTATTTAAGTATTTGTACAAAATTGTATTATGCTCAATAATGAATTATAGAGAATATATATGCATTTGTGTGAATAAATGAAAATTTATTTACCTTTTGTCATATTTAATCTCTCTGACCTAGCAGCCCTACTTTGCTGGTTTATGCAGCAGAAATTCGTGATAAAGAAATTTGGGGAACCTTAATTGAAAATCTACAATAATAAAGAATTTAAGAAGTCTTAACTAGAAATTCGCGATAAATTTAGGGAGTCCTAGCCGCGCAACGTATCTTCTGGCCCTATTTATTCTGACTCGATTTCGAGGGGTTCAAGCCAGGAAAATAACTCCCGATATTGCCGATTATTGTTCGATAATAAGATTACTAATAGTTTGTTTACAATCGTACAATATTACGATCGTTCTTTAGACGCGCATGTCATTTAGAGAGTCGTCAGAAATCAAAATATATGCTGTTACGCATGTATAGAATATAATCAATATGCATCTTAACTTTCGGTTGGCGGATTATTAAAAATCTATATCTTTAAAATTGTTTTTTAAAGCTCATATAATGGAAATAAATATATATGTCTATCATAAAATGCAACAAAAATATCTTTATTTTAGAAATATTTTTCTTTCTACTTTAATTTTTATTTTGATATAATTAATATATTTCTCTTTATAAAAATTTAAAAATATAAAATTACAATTTATTCTTTTTATATAAGTTTAAAAATATAAATTTGTAATTTAGTATAAAATTTTATTTTAGAAATATAGAATATAAATACATATAAAAGAAATTTTTTATGATTAAAATTGATTAAAATTTGCACATGCGTTCCGCTGTTCAAGAGTTAAAAGCAACGGATTTATCTACGTGCACTTACAAATCCATTGTTTCAAAATAAAAGTTCATCACTCACCGGCACGGGCTGATGCGCAACAGCGGAGTTAACATTAGAGGAGCTACGTTGTCTATAACATATAAATATAAGGTTCAAATTAAATAGCAGCATAAATAATAAATATTTTAAAAAATTATTATTGTATGTATTGTATTGTATTGAATTTTATATTCGATGCGTACAATTATAAGTAAGCATATATAATATGAAATAATTTTATAAATAAATTAATTTTTAAGTAGAAACCTATAGAAAGATTTTATAAGAATTTTCCTAATTTTTTAAATTTAAACCATTCAAATAAATGAATCAAATTAATACATGTACTCAATTTATATATAATAAATTAATATAAATAACATCATCAGGTTGCTTCGCCGATGCAGGATGCCTTTCCTAGACCTCCTCCTCCTCTCAGATCATCAAGGTTGTTGCATCGATTTATAATACATATGAATAAAAAGATCCAAATTATAATAGCGTTCATAATAATTAATATTTTAAAAAATTATTATTGTACACATTAAATTTTATATTCCATACACGTAATAATAAGCAGATTAATAAAATAATTCTACACATTTTTGTGAAAAAAAAACAATAATTTTCTAATAACTTTATATAAAGGCTTCTACAAAATTATAGTTTTTGTAAAAATCTCAGATCCTTTTCTCTCTTTAAATCATATAAATAAAAAATTAAATTACGCGATTAATTGCTCAATTTAAATTGCGCGTATACAATTATAATACATATTTAATATAGAATTACTAATAAATTATTTACCAGAGGTTGCTTTGCCGGCGTCCGATGCCTCTCCTAAGCCTCCTCTCACAATTAATCTTATGTTAGACGCGCGATACTTTTATCGGCACTCCCGCACTCACGTGCGATATTTTTATCACTATTTCCGCACTTTTACGCGCGATATTGAACGGCTCTCTCGCACTATTTCGACACGATCAAAAATGTTCTATTTGTTCGCGCAATGTACATTGTATATATGTATATTCAACGCATGAAATGCACATGCTACATATGAGTTATTGCGCGACTCGTGGCAATGCTGTGCAATACTTAGCTTCCTCTTCAGGCTCCTTAAGGTTTATCCTGAATAAAAAAATTTAACATAAATCTCAAGGCACCATTCAAATAGCCACCCATGGGGGGTTGTGTTGTATAAATTTATAATATAATATAATTAAATATCATATAAATATAATATAATTTGTAAGACAGAAGAAGAGAAAAATTTATATATAATTTTATTTAATTGATGTGTGGAATTTATTATATTATTCAATAATGTAATTTAATAATATAATCATTATTGCGTTTTTCATTTTTATGTCATGTATGCAATAAGTGCATTTAATTAAATTAAAGTAACAATTTTTTTTCTCATTTTAATAATTATATTATTATGAAATATTTCATAAAATATTGAACTATCTATATAAAAATTAATTAATATCAAAAATATTTTATTATATTATTTGGAATATTTTAAAATAAAAACTCAAAAAATATTTTTTATACACGCGTTATATATTAGATGATAATTTAAAATAAATCATTTTCGAAAAAATGAAAAAGGAACAAGCAATATTGAAAGTAATAAGAATGATAAATAATTTATAAATCACTCACCGCATATTTTCGTTGTTCCGCATATTATGTTGCCTGATGCTTTTCTCAACCTCCATTTTCTCTTTTGTTCGTCCTTTATTATTTCTTCATGGCACTCACACTCACTTCCGAAAATATAATTAATAATGATTAGTAATATTATATATGGAACAATCGCGAGACACTTTGTACCACACTTCCGATCGCGGAATAATTACAAGAGAAAATGCATTTTTTAACGTATCGTAAGAAATATTATAGAAAATACTATTCGTTAGAGAGAACTGTTATTTGTTCGACATTTATATGAAGTTTCAAATTCATGCGTTACTCATTACAAATGCTCTATTTTATTAATATTATATTAACATAAATTATAAAATCGAAAGATTAATTCTATTTTATTGAAAGATTAATTTTAATTGAAAATCATGATAATCGTTCAATTAATAATAAATTCGATAATATACGAAGTATCGTTTCGCATTATCTTGCTCGAATATTACCGTGTGAATACCAAGGCCGTGGCATGTAAACATTAGCGCACTGTTGTTTACGCTGTCAAGGCCGAACACTGTGTTATTGTCCGTTCGAAATATTTTACGTACTTTGACAAATATGTATATACGCGAAATATTTTAAAATATAGAAGTTTAAATTTTAAATGATATAGATTAATTATATGATTATTTATTAAAAGATTAATATATCACAGAGTCTTTCATTATGTTAAATATTTATATTTACGATTCGATCGTTTTACTGCGCGATCTCAACCGGAATTATATTTAAATAACCAAAAAAATAACCATAAAAAATAGATAAAGAGTCGCGAATGATTTACATTTTACTCTAAATATCATTAAAGAAATAATTTTTGCTCATAAAAATCAATTTCATATCGAAATGATAATTATTATTTTAGATTTTTATTATCACGATTCTTACTTGAGATTAAAAAAATTACGCGAAATATACGATTCGAGAATTTTCGTAGCAATAAGTATTAGTTATGCGTTTATTTATAAAAGTTAATTAATCATATTATTATAAATAAAATAATATTCCAATGTTAATTACGATCGCAATTTAGAAAAGAAATTTAACGCCTCCCACTACTATCCTTTTTTAAATTCGTTCAGCAATGATAACATTAGTCTGACGTCAAACGTCATCACGACCGAAAACCATGTTATTGTTATTTTTTTGCTGAAACATTTTATGTACTATGGCATACATATACATACAAATAAATATTTCAAGGTTCTGTCGTTTCGTTAAATGTAGTTACACATTATTAATGAAAGATAATTATCATTAATCCTATATTAAAAATGTGATGATATATCTTTAACATCCCCTTCCCGAGTGATCGTAAAATCATAAAAAAATTATTTAACGCTGTTAATGATTAAAACTCTTTACAAAATGAAAGAATAATGTTCGGACTATAGGAAAATTATAATATAATAAACTACGGTTTCAAAAATTTTTTGCGCAACATTTCGAAAAAATGTTTTAAAAATGTGATGATATGCCTTTAACCACAAGTAGTTATAAAATTATGAAAAAATTAATTATCCCTGCTAATGATTACTTATAACAAAAGAGAATATATATGGTGCAAATTGTACAAAATTATAATAGAATTTATATTCGAAATCGATTATTATACGTATGTATATTTAATTAATTTGATACAATTTAAATTCTCATAATTTAAAACAAAAATTAGAATAATTTAATATTAAACTTGCATTGATATTGAAAGAGCGATTTAGTATAAAACACAAGTCTTAAATATTTCTTTAAAACTGTTAAAATATATAATTGCAATTATATATTTTATTTTTGAAAAGATAATTAATATTAATTCTTGTTATATTATTTGATGGTAATTTTTTGTGGTTGAAAGAAATTTAGTCCTAATTCGCAGAGATTTAACGACAATAAATAATAATGAAAAAATTACCTAATATACTAATATACTATAATGATTATTGTTAAAATTATTGCAATTCTCTATTTTTTTACAGCATTTATATTAATAGTACGCCTTTAATAGATCGAATTTAAAGAGAAAATACTCAAAATCATTATAAACGAATGTGTAAGTAAGTGAAATATATGAAATAAATTTGTGTGAATAATTAAATTAAGACATAAATCTTGTACATGATAAGAAAGTCGATGACATAAATCGGTACATTATTTTGGTCTAGTCTTTATTTGCGTATCAAATTACAGTAGGTAAAGCCGAGCTTGCTCTTTAAAGGCAATTAGAGATAAAGCGAGAGAGAAAAGGATGCGAGAAAAAACACGAATAAGATGCAAGATACTTCGGGAATTGACGAAATCCGAGTTTTCTATTGGATTTAAGGATAGAGGAACTATGATTATTGGCTATCGATCAAGTCCGCGTGGAGTATTTGGCTCCGTAGTCCGCGCGGATTATTTAGATCAGAAAAATTCGAGATGCTACCGATATATTGAACATCTGATGCGAATATTAAATACAACATCACAGATCAAATACAAATTAAGTAAAGATATATTGAATTTTAATATTTTTATAATAATTTTTAATAAATCAGTATTATATCAATATAATATTAATTGATAATTAATATTATACCAAATATAAATAGATCAGTATAACTTACTGCCGAGATGATTTATTTAATCATTAATCTTGTTAATATTTTTTAAATCAATGCATTAAATAAATTATTTTTTCCTATAAACTGATTACTATTTCATGATAATGGTTGTTATCATTTAATTGATTATTGTTGCTAAAATGTTTTTGTAAAATTCGATCTTTATTGTCATTTATAAAGTTATAATTATTTAAAAATGCAATTTGTATTATATAGTGAAATATTTTAATTATTCCAACTAAAAGATATTAATATGTATTCGTAAAAATTTTTACCACTTGGTACTTTTATCGGCTAGTAAGTAGGTCGCATTCTTTATATTTGCCTGGTCAAACGATTCAAACGTCCTTCGCATACTATAGAGAATTGTATTATTTATATTGTGAAATATTAATTTTTAGTCTTGATACGTCATTTATACGTAGTCTTCGATCTAAAAATGTTACTACTTGTTTATGAAATTTATTATTAAACATTTGTTATTTTTAATGTAAATAAGGTCATCTCTTTATATTTCGAGATTAAACTTATGTTTAATATTTTTTGATTCTTTTCAATGTGGAATTGAAATCATCTTGATTAATTTAATTATTGATTAAGTTGCAAGGTCCACCTTTTGGAATAGCAAAATTTTTATTATATTTTATATGATAATAATATTATTAAAAATTTGATATTAATCATGCGAGTCAACAATTAAATTTGGCGAAATTTAATTAAAAAGTAATGTTAGAGTTACAGACATTTTTAATATAATTTTTTAAAATTATACACACACATATACATATACATATATTGTATATGTATTTTATGTAATGTAATATAATTATGTATAATGTATTCTGTTTATATAATTTATTTCCTATATACGATTTATATAAGTAAATTAGATTTCTATATTATAAATGTTTCGATAGTTTCTTTTGTTTTTTATTCTCTATTATTTATTAATATCTTTCTCTTTTTTATATTTTGCAACATATGATGACGTAAAACGCGCCGCTATTACATTTTACCTTCGAAAATTCGGTGTAACAAAAGATAGTATGTTATTAGCGTCATATCTGCATCTGACATTCCCCATAAATCGGGCAACACTAACACATCCTGCATACATAAATGCGCGCTGGTGTAAAAATCGCTCAATAGACATCCAGTCACCGGATAATAACGACTCATCATGCTGCGATTCTATGTGCTACTAGTGAACGTTATTGCTGTCGCGATGATGATGATGATCGGCGTTGCATTTTCGGAAGATACGAATCACGAATATGTTCAGATTGAAAGACCGATTCGAATGGATAACGTCTTCTTCCCTCAAAATCGGAATGCAATGTCATTCATCGACTCTTCATCTACATTTCTTTTGCATCTCCTCAAGTATAAACTGCATAAAGTGCAGTATCAGAAGTTAGATAAGATCGCTACTACTACTACCACCACTACTACCACTACTACTCCTTCTTCTCCTAGAAGTTGCATCTGTGTACCCTTTTATTTGTGTGATAATAATCAGACTATTATCAATGATGGTGCAGGAATAATTGATTTTCGGTAAGTTAATTAAGATTCGTTAATTAATCGATATTATTGGCTAGTTTATATTAACATTGATAGATTTTAATTATTTCTCTAATTTATTGTTTCTATTTAATTAGTTAATTATAATTTTATAAATTATATATACATATTATAATTAATTATTATAATTAATTATATTTAATTTTATTTTATTATTCTTTTTATTTTACATAATTTAATTTTTTTTATTGAGATTCAATTAAAATTTTATATTTAATTTTATAATTTTTTAAATTATTATAAAATTTTATCTTTTTAAATTCTCTAGAACTAAATTCTATATTCAATGTTTTACTTGCTTGCTATAATTCATATTATTAGATAAACTAAGTTTCAAATTATAATTTATATTAATCTAGAATTCAAAATATAAATAATTAACAACCGTATTGCAGCAATGGGATATGCCCTGGAATCTTCGAGATCTGTTGCTTTCTGCGAAATGTCACAATACCACCTCCAACAATACCTCCGACTACTTCGACTACTCCTTCAACAACTTCAACTACTCCTTCAACAACATCAGCACCAATAATTTTCCCGACCATGTTACCGATTCCTACCGTGACCATACTTCCAAACTGCATCTGTGTGGAGAGATCGTTGTGCGATCCCAATGGAATAGTCACCGTTTTTGGCGAGGATGTAATAAACCCGCGGCAACAGTATGCTCTGTGTCCAAATGCCAATCAAGTCTGCTGCAGAATATTGACGACAACGACACAGCCACCAACAACGAGTTCTTCGACGACAACGACGACAATGATGACGACGACGACAACGATGACGACGACGACGACGATGATGACGACAACGACACCCGGACAAACACTACTGTGTTTCGTATGCAACAATACTATTCAATGTTTTACTTGCTTGATCATTGCGCCAAATAGCAGCGTCATAGACCCCAGATTATCTCAGATCTTATCGGGAGGAGATGTTTGCGCGTTGACAACTCTATTGTCCTGTCAAACTAGTCCACCCGCTTCGTCAGTTCCGGATTTGCTCGGTCCATTGAAGAATCCAGGTACTCCGCAAGCTTGTTACTGTGTGAAAACCTGGTTGTGTTCTGAGGGAAACGTGATAAATCTAGACGGTTTGGGTATAATCGATCCAAGATTCACAGCTTGCTCATCGGCGGACCAAGTGTGTTGTCGACTGGTGGGAATTAATCTTCAAGGTCTTCGTAACGCTTCGTTAAAAAATCTTGCTGTTGGACGATCTGATCATTTAACTTCAGACATTTGTGGTACACAGAACAATAATTACGCACCGCGTAAGTATAAACTTGCTACATTTGCGTGAACTTGCATAATAGATGAAAATTATATGAAATATGAGCGAAAGTTATCTGTATATAAGTGAAGTATAATAAGCTATAAAAAATGATCAATACTTCAATGATCAATACTTCAATGATCAATAATTAAAAATAAATTTATTTAAAACGCGAATTTTCTATCTGTAAGTTCAATTATTTTTGCATATCATTAAAGAAAATCTAGCCGAATAAATGTTTATATTAATTATTATTATATTGTTATTGATTCTCTTGATTAATATCTGCATTGATAATTAGATTTAGTTACAATTAAAAACAAAAAAATTAGTTACAGTTAAAATTTATTTAATCATTGATATATAATATTTAAGCGAAATATAAATCGAAACCGACGTCTAATTTGAGTTGTAAAAAGCTAATTTAAAGCTGATTTAAATTTTATTCAAATGATAAAAATAACAATCGCTAATTGTTACAGCGCAGCCTGCTTCTGCTGACTCCGGAAAGACTTATTTCGCCGAATTTCCATGGATGGTTGCGCTTCTCACAAAGCCCACGACCGGTAATTCTTACGTTTTCCAATGCGGTGCTTCGATGATAAGTAACGAGGCCATTCTTACTGCTGCACATTGCGTTATAAAGTATGTGTTATGACAAATTAAATTATTATTTGAAGTATGTGATATTGTATCATAAATTAAAGGAGAATAAGAAGCCATCAAAAAGATATCTAAGATATCTAGATACGTTTTAGTTGTTTGAAACGTTTCTAGAACTTGTGTATCGATTTGATCAATTATTGATAATATCTTTCTTCTATTCTTTTTTTAATAGTCAGAAACCTGAAAATTTAATGGCACGTTTCGGTCAATGGAACATAGAAAATAGCGTTCAACCATTGCCTATTCAAGAAGCGAATATTCGTGCGATAGCTGTGCATCCGTCTTATTACAGCGGTGGACTATTTCACGACATAGCTGTTCTTGTTCTGGAAAAACCAATCATCTATAGCATAAATATCATGCCGATTTGTCTTCCTGAACAAGGTGCGGTTTTCTCCGCTAGGAGCAAATGCTACGGAATAGGATGGGGTACCAATTTATTTGGTAAATTTCAAGAGTAGTTTTTGCAGTTTTCTTATTATTTTTTTTCGATTTTTAATATTCATCCGCGAAATCATGCTTCCAGGACCAGAAGGGAAATATCAAGCCGAACTGCGAAAGGTCGAGCTTCCTATCGTCGATCGAGAGGATTGTCAGACGCGTTTACGAAGTACGAAATTGGGCCAGTATTTTCAACTGCACGGATCATTTATCTGCGCGGGTGGCGAAGCGAGCAGAGACACATGCCGCGGTGACGGCGGTGGACCTCTGATTTGTCAAGCTGCTACGGGACAATTTTTTCAAGTAAGTAAGAAATCGATATATGCTTTTTTCCCATGAAAAGTTGAATTCCTAAAAGATTAAATTCTCTTTTAAAAATTTTAAAGTTTTTAAACATTTTTTTAAACATATCTTTTAGATTTTGCAATTTTTAATTTTTAAACTAATTATAATTTTTTAATTAAATATGTTTGATTAATGACACTTTTATTATTACTTTTCAATTCTTATTTACTTCATATTTATTTATTATTATAATTATATCCGGAATTAAATTAGATTAAAATCCATAGACATATTTTTATATTGAAGAATACAAAAAATATGATATATATGTATATAAGTTTGATAAATTATATTTCAGGCTGGCATTGTATCGTGGGGTATTGGCTGTGGGACTTCTAACATTCCTGCGGTATATGCAAGTACATCACAACATCGTCAATGGATAGATCAACAGCTCGCAACTTTTGGCGTATAGTAACGCAGAGAGTGTTTAATATTTTTATTCTCAATTGCCTTTGACGTACAATTATATAGTTACCATGATCTTTTCATTACGCTAACGTGAAAATTATAATATAAAATATTATATATTTATTACAATTACATATTTATTAATGAAATATCGTAATATATGTATATATGTACTCCTTCTCCATTATAAAATATTTATAAATTATTGTTCCTCGTATAAAGTTAATAAATCATTTACTTGTGCATAATATAAATAATTGCATATTTAAATAATTAACCTTCAAAAATAAATCATAAACAATAAAAAAATATTATCGTGACTGTATGATATCTAAAAATCTATTCTAAAATAAAATTGCGTTAACAAGAGGCAAATATATAAATATTTAAGTTTGCAATACCGTTATCTGATAATAAATAATTAGAAAATTAACAAAAAAAGCTTCCACCGTGACAATGTTTGCACATTGCCGTGACCAGGATTCGAACCTGGGTTACTACGGCCACAACGTAGGGTCCTAACCACTAGACGATCACGGCTACTGGAAGAACTGATTGCACGGTAGAGAATTAAGCATAATATTCGAGCCAATGATAAAGTTTTCATGATTTAATAAGCATGTATTTTAATATCGTAATAAATGTAGATATACTAATGTATTTGTAATGAGATAATCAAGTATATATAAAATAACCATAATACATAGAAATCTGAGTTTTAAAAAATTAAAACATTGAGAGATGATGTAATATATAAAATATCAAAAACATTTAAATACGTGCATAAGAGATTAACCAATAATAAAAATAATTAAAAAAAAAAACTTCCACCGTGACAATGTTTTCACATTGCCGTGACCAGGATTCGAACCTGGGTTACTACGGCCACAACGTAGGGTCCTAACCACTAGACGATCACGGCTATTGGAAGAGCTGACTCCAGAACTGGAGAATCGAGTAAAATAATTATGAATAAATAAATTATACTGTAACAAATTTTAAATCATTAAATATATCTCGTTCGATAATATCACAATATAATACAAAATCTAAATTATTTGCAATAAATGCATGTATTAAAAAACAATGTAAAATTTTCAATTTATTAAATAGTTTATTCTTGTAAATGTATGAGAATTGTGTTTAGACTAAATAACATAATATATGTGTAATAAATAAAAAATAGTTAAATTGAATAATAAATTTGATTCTTAATTCGCAAAAATTAACTTGTACATTTTTTTTCAAGTAATTTACACAAAAGTATATTTTCTTAGATAACAATACAGTATTTACATTTTGATAGAGGATATAACTGTTTAATTAAATTATGGTATGATATGTATTCATGACTTCGTGCTAATTAATTATAATTATTATTAATGATTACATCTTTTGTAGAAATCTTTTGTTGAAATAGAAGAATACCTTAATGTGTAGTTCTTTTCAAATTGTTATCAGATTCCGAATAAACTTCGTTAATTTTGAAACTTTCATGAGAATAATTATGAGAATAATTTTTGTGAAAATAATTATGAGAATAGAAAGATATATTTTTTGATATATTTTTTGATATATCTGTGATGAAAAAGAGATAGTTCTGATTTTAAAAATAAAGATTTTATATTTTGCAAAGTAGATTTTTATAAATTCTTTTAATTTACCTGTTTCCTACAAAACTTTTCAAGTGATAAATGCATTTGAAATGATTTGTGAAAAGTGATTTATATTATCTTCCGCGTTCAATGAGAGAACGGATGGCAATAGATATAAATGTGATAGATAATTGATCATAGCTGAATGAAATAGTGTTGCGACAGCTGATACCTGTCAACGTCATGTGCACGCATGCAAACAACGCACGGTAAAGTACACGATAATTCCGATAATTAATCATCTATATATCAACGTACACGTCATTTATGACAATTATACATATATATACATATATATGTAAATGACACATCTTTTATTGACCCATATTTAACATGCTGGTTTTCTTTGTAACTTTTTAAATTAAATTATAATTCAAATATTTTTTCTTTCTACAATAAGCTGTGCAAAAAAGGGTCTGCTCGAAATATCATAGCAAACAAGAAGTTGATTTTAATAATGCATTTAAAAAATGCTTATTCAGATATACTTGACCTTAACATTAAAAATTTGTTAAGCCCTTGACTTCAACATGTTGGATATATGCAAAGACACGGTGAGTATATCGCAATTTAGAAAGAATTTGCTGAATACCTAAATCATATTTGATCTGTCCATTTTATGTGCTTTTATATTATTATAATTTAGTAAAATCACTTTTCAGCTTTTAAACATATGCGTATGAAATTTCAAAATGTTTATTGATTATATGAATTTTTGACTTATTGATTGGTTATATATTTATTTTATTTGATTATATATATCCCAGGTAGCAGAGTACCGTCAAATAACATCTTAATAACGTTTTAATGACGTCATTATACGTCATTAAGACATCTGGAAACGTCATCTTGCTGGAATGTATTCACTTATTGGTTGGTTATATATTTATTTTATTTGATTATATCCCAGGTAGCAGAGTGACGTCAAATGACATCTTAATAACGTTTTAATGACGTCATTATACGTCATTAAGACATCTGGAGACGTCATCTTGCTACCTGGGATATATATATATTCACTTATTGATTGGTTATATATTTCACTTATTGATTCACTTATTGATTGGTTATATATTTATTTTATTGATTATATCCCAGGTAGCAGAGTGACATCAGAGTCAAATGACATCTTAATAACGTTTTAATCTCTCTCTCTCTCTCTCTCTAGTTCTAAATCAATAAATAGATTCCTTATTCATCACAAAATTCGCGACGAGATTAAATCTGAATATAACAAAAACCAGTGTTATCAAGAGAAAAAATCTGGTTTGTTTACTTATTTTGATAAAATTCCTTGCTAGTTGGAGGACATCGACATGCAAAGACCCTCGCTTAACCCTTGAACCGGTTTAATATATGTTATATTGTGCGTCACGGAGGAATAAGGATTTCGTTCCAAGAACAAATATGCGAATTCCTTGGCTGAAACTTCTAGGAAAACCGCATCAAAAATACCCAGGGTCAACGCATGAGTGGGAAATGCCGGTTCTCCAATGTTACAATCTCAGACTGGTAAGGATGGTAGAGTCGGTATGAGACAAGAGCGAGGGAGAAGGTGGGGAGAATACGTGATAAATACCAGAGTAGGATTATACGAAAGCATCGCGGTTCTCTACTCAGTGGTGTATTAATCGGGCATCGCTGTTCCAAGTAGAAGGTGCTCGTTCGTCGTTTCTTGTGTTTTCTTCTCGGTGAGTATCAAATTAATTTTTGTGCTCGATCAAAAGATAATTGCAGATAATTGCTTCTCAGGAATTTTTTAAATAAGAATTAGTAAAATATCAATTTGTCGTTTATCTATGATCAATATCTAAATATTCTGTTTGCGTGTGCGTCTGTGTGTGTATGTATATACGTGTATATTGTGCCTATATTTGTATAAACTTCTTATATGACCTAGATGATTTAATTATATAATTATTCGACAATAATGATGATAATGAATTTGATATTCTTAGTGTATATGATAATGAATAATGTAATGATGATAATGAATTTGATGCTCTTAGTGTGTGTATTTATCGAATCAATTAATATGCAATCATATAAATAATGATAAAATCATATAAAATTATTATTTTCTATAATATATATTATTTTATTTTATAATATGATATCGCAAAATACACATAAAAGTTTCAATTTTTGTCATTTTTTATAAATCATTCGAAGTTATAACTAATGTTAATGAAATTATTTAATGAAACGTTATGTTGATAATACGCGGTTTGTGATCGTGTCATTCAATGCTCAGCAAAGGTCAGTGGCAAGCAATTGTGGATAAATATATTGAAAATTCTTATGTTAAAGTAGTTATATAACGGAACGTTAAACGCGTATAATTTCAATGTTTTGGAATGAAATTTACATAGCAACAAACCTCGAATATTTGAGATAACTGGTGAAATATTTTCCATTCTTATAAACGAGAGAATATTCTATTATAAAATTTCATCATGTCTGAAATCTGTTTAGAAAATGCTATCTTGAAAGCGTGTTTATATGCATAAATAAATTAAGAATGTTTTTACATGATGACGCATATATGTACATTTATCTTCATCGCAGAAACGAAGATAATGTTGATTATATGAGAATATAAAATATCCTGAATAATTATGCGTTAGAATTATAGTGTGTTTTTTTCATAATCATATATTGAAAAAAATTATGAATGTTCTTTTGTAAGAACATCTTTTTCACATCTGTAAAATAAAAAATTTAATATAATATTACTATTCTTATCACAATAAATAGAATTTTTATAATTATATTAACATCATGTATAACAAAGAAAAAATTGCCCTTTACGATATAAATTTATATATAAATTCTTTTTTGATGTTCATATTAAATACAATATATAATATTAAATACAATATATAATATTTTAGTTTAATTAGTGTAATATTAAAAAGCAATTTTTAGCAAATTAATATATGAGAACTATTAGCATCGTTCGTTGTAGCAATTACAAAAAAAAATTTCATTAAAAAAATTTCATCAAAAATCAGTGTTTCTATTTTTTGAATATTTTCATTTAATATTACGGTTATTATAATAATATTTAATTACTATAATTATAAAATGATTTGATATGATATCTCGTATTGTTCGATAAGACAAGAAAATAATTTTCTTTGAGACGGAAAAAAGTTATCAAAAAGTTTATTATTTTTTTTTTATTAATTATTATTATTCTATTAATTATATTCTATAATTGTTATAATTCTGAAATCTAATTTTTCTCTTAATAAGAAATATTAAATACACGAACAAATATTTTTTCTTCAATTGTATAATACACTGAAATATAAAATATTTATAATATATAATATATAAAATATTGAATTCTTTCTGTTTTACTTTATCATGTTTTCGAACAATTTACAGAGATATATTTAGAAATATGTTAACATAAATCTATATCTATTTTTCATTCGGTTATTTCAAACAGAAATATTTTTTACAATCGTATTTTGTTTGTTCGAAAATACTTCTTGATAATAGTGACGAGAATCACCGAAGGCTAAATTGTCTTGCGTTAAATCGTAGGAAAGGCGCGATTATGGACTTCATGGATCGCTGAATTCTAGTTCGCTGAATTTATCTTCTTTGATTTTTCTGGCTTATAGTGACCAAAGCATCGCTGTGTCATCGCTATTTATAATCTAAAAAAAAAGAAATATATGTGTCTGTCTTAATCGTCATTGCGAGATTTCTTCGCTATAAATTGTTCGAGGACGACCGCGTTCCACTTGAGTGTACTTGGAGTTATATTACACTACTTCATCGAATCTGCTTCAGGTAGACTAATCCTTGGAATAAACCATGTGGCGATTGGTTCCTACGTTGACCTTGGTCAGCGTGGCCTTGGTAGCAGCATTACCAGCACCGCAACAAAATCCAGGTAGCCTCAGCGATCTCATCGAGCAGGCTTTTCCCGAAACTAAAACCTCCACTCCTCCGTCGGTGCCCCAGATAGACGGCGATGCACTTGACAGCCTGATCCAGGACTTCTATAAGAATGGAAATGTTACCACTACTACGGCGAAAAGTATCATTCTCGGCACGCAAAATACACCACCTCCGAAACCTGACAATTGCGAATGCGTGCCCTATTATCAGTGCAAGGAGGGCAAGATCCTGGAGAACGGAATCGGCATCATCGATATCAGGTTCGGTGCTGATCAAAATACTTCTTCCACTGGAAAGATAGATGTCCATGGGTGAGTTTATTGACCAAAGATCGATGTCTCGGCCGGTTCTCTATCGGCGAATGGATTGCGGCATGCTGTGAAATTTTTTCTGTATACGAAATCTGCTGATTTGTTGATTAACGTCAGATCAAGGTTGGAAAACTTTAACAATTATGGTCTGGATATTCCCATAGTTTGGTATTCCCAATGATAACTAGTATGACATTCTCTTATTCTCATATAAAAGTTTACTCGTATTAATTTCTTTTTCAACTAAATTTGGTTATGGTATTCTATAACTATATAATATCTTTTAATTATATAGATTATGTGTATAGATTTATATGTATAGATATATAGATATATAGTGTCTCTCTTTTTTCTCTCTCTATACGCTTCTAAAATAATACTATACATATATATATATATATATATATATATATATATATATATATGTATATATTATTTATAATTAAATATATATCTAAATTTTTTTAAGTTGTGTAAATTCTATTTTGTACTTAAAAAATATCGTTAACTTGACTAAATGCGTTTATTTGATTTTCATTCTTTAGTTGGAATATTTAAGTAATTTAACTTAAATATGATGTATTTGACGTAAATATTTTAATAAAAAAAAATGATATCTAAACATATTTAATCAAGTTACAATTTTTTTCTCGGTGCGTATATCTTTCGATTTAATAATAGTAATAATGCTTAATTGTCTGTTTTATATAAAGTAATAATCTATAATATTATAAAAATATTTAATTTCCTTTCTTAAAAATTTAATAACAAATATTATTTTTAATAACAAATTTAATTACAAATGTTATTTTTTATGTATAATAAATTATTATTATAAAAGTGCTTTTAGATAATATTTTTGAAAAACGTAATTATTTTGTTACAATTTTTTTGTAAATTGACAAAAAGTGTCATATTATTTATCACTGTATTTGTGTCTTTATAATGAATATTTATTGAATGCGTTTATAGCAAGATAATTACAAGTGATTTCAGTCACACGTGGAGGATAATTACGTTAGAAGGAAAGCGGAAGTAATAGTGCGTCACTGCTAAATTAGAAACGGTTTACGATTTCTTTTGTTGTACATGTAATGTTCAACTCTTGATACAATATTGTGCATTCATAAATGACGACATAATTAAATATATATTCTACACAGTGACTATTACTTATCGAGGACACAACGTTCGAAAGGCTTTCTAATTATTATAACTATGAAGTAATCAAAGTATCATTTAATTATAATAAGTTGATATTATAGAATTGAAGAAAAATATAACTTTGAATTATTTACATTATATACGGTATCAGAATTCATTATTTATCATTGCAGTTTTCAATTAATTAAAAATGTGCATAACTTGAATCTGCATGTACAAATAAACGTTTTCGGCTCGCGAATCTATGATAAATATTGTGATTGATTATAAGAAACGTTATTGAGAAGTGTCTTTGATAAACAGTAATCGCCGCGTAAATATACTTAAATATCAAATGTATTGTAAAATTTTCAATTTTAAACTGATTAATTGTTTTAAGCATGCCCTCTTACTATTTATGCCGCATGAGACTATCTTTGGAAAATAAAATTCTCATCTCTGAAACTGCTAATAAATAATAATTTCTATTATTAATTTAAGTACATATAATTCAATAGGCAATTAAATCGTGCGCAAAAGAAATGATTTTCAGAAAATATTATATAATTACTCGTTTCTCATAATTTTTTGTATTGTATATATATATATATATATATATATATATATATATATACGTACATATAATGATAATTTAAAACTTAGTGATTGCCTAATATCTAAACTATATTTTATATAGCGAAATTTTCAACTTATTTAATCTTTTGATATACAACAATAATGAATTAACGTTAACAAAATAAAAAACATTGTATTTAAAGATTCAAGATTTAAAAAAATAGAAATAACATATTTTATTTATCTTTCTTTTTCTCTTTCTCTTTTTCAGCTGTTGAAGCTCTTTTCAAACTCTTTTCTCTTTTAAATTATTTATTTATATGCGAATAAATGCAACTATTCCTAAAATTAATATGGAATGAACAATAATTAATTCCGACATTTTTGTAATTATTTGATTGAATATTTAGAGCTCTTGGACCATGTGACAATTACTTGGATGTTTGTTGCACACCACCGAATCTACAGCCACCACCCACACCTCCACCGACGACTAGAGTCGGATGTGGTCAGCGACATGCTGAAGGAGTCGGTTTTAGGATCACCGGCCAAACCGATAATGAGGCTCAGTTTGGCGAGTTTCCGTGGATGGTGGCAATCTTGAAAGAAGAAGCTATCGGCGAAAATGGCCAAAAATTGAATGTTTATCAATGCGGCGGTGCACTTATCCATCGACAAGCCGTTCTCACTGCAGCTCATTGCGTTAATGGGTCAGTAATAGATTTGTTATAAATATGATAACAAATGTCATATTTGATAACCTCAGAAAAATTTTAAAACCATTTATTTTCCAATCGTGGTCTTAACAAGATAGTATTAAGCAAAATAGAAGGAAATATAATTAACCGCAACTGACGTCGCGTTGACGCAATTGAATGTCTCAATATGAATTAATTTAAAATGGAGAAATTACAGATCTTGACGGATCTGATAAATCTTTCTGTCTGGCAAGACTGTAAATTGCTTATTTATATGCAAATGAACGACGAATATGTTTGACTAGATTGAAAATGGAAATTACTTTATAATAAGTTTTGTCTCAAGTATGAATGAAAATGTAGAAATAAATTAAATTATTTCAAGTGTAGAAAAATAAGAATATAAATCATTTTTCTCTTTCTTCATTTTTTTCTCTAATTTAACAATATATTTCGATCAACAGAAAACAGCCGAACGAACTCAAAATCCGCGCAGGAGAATGGGATACACAAACGAAGAACGAGATTTATCCGCATCAGGATCGCGACGTTGAAAAAGTCATAGTTCACGAAAAGTTTCATTCCGGCGCGCTTTACAACGATTATGCTATACTGATTTTGAAGACTCCGGTCGAATATGCAGAGAATGTAGATATCGTGTGTCTGCCGGAAGCGGGCACGAATTTTGACGAATCTAGATGTTTTGCCAGTGGATGGGGAAAAGACGTATTCGGTAAGCAATGTGTAAAAGTATGAAAAAACGAATATTGATCGACTGTCTTAATGTATCTTTAATATGATACATTAATTGCAATCTCTAATAAGTTATACTTATACTCTTAATAAGTTATACTTATTTTTTTAATTGTCAGTGATATAATTTAATTGATACAATCACACATTTTTAAAAATATATTGTATATACCAGAGGGACTTAAAATACTATTATAATTTTTTATCTTTATTTTTTTATCTTTTTATCTTTATATTTTTATCTTTTTATCTTTATATTTATAACTTAAGTTTATTGATGATTGTAAAGAATAATTTCGATTAACTGTCAGGCGCGCGTCCCCGCGAATTGTGACCGATATTAATGATTCAGAGATTAAATTCTAGATTAATGTAAAATGCTATAATAATTTCGTTAATATTTAATTATTTATAGGTAAAGAAGGACGTTATCAAGTGATCTTGAAGAGAGTGGAACTTCCTGTGGTAACCCATGATACATGTCAAAGTACTTTGCGTACTACTAGGTTGGGGAAATATTTTGTTTTGGACTCAAGTTTCATTTGCGCAGGTGGAGAAGTAGGGAAAGATACTTGCAAGGTAAATTTGAGACATTTTTCATGAAAATGTATTTGTCATTATATGTAATATTTCTTTGTCATATATATGTCATATATATGTCATATATATGTAATATTGATTTATATAGAGTTGTTTTATCAAATTCATGCCTTATTTTTATTTTATATAATTTTACGTACAATAATTTAAAAATGCAAGATAACAAAAATCCGTGCAATATAACTCTCGATCTAATATTTTTATTTTTTTATCTTCTTGCATTGGATAATTACATCTTGTTATAATTTCCCAAAAATGAAACCAAAATTGGAGCAATATTATTATAATTATTTGTATATGAACGCTTATTAAATTATGCAAGTTTGAATTATACAAGTTTTTTTTCTCTTTTAACAATTTTCTGTAAAGGACGTTTTTCTATATTTTATATTTTATATTAGACAAGGAAATGATTATTTGATTTTCTTTTTTACAGGGTGACGGTGGAAGTCCCTTGGTGTGTCCCTTAAAAAACGATCCAAAGAGGTACGTTCAAGCTGGAATCGTGGCCTGGGGACTTGGTTGCGGTGAGAGCGGAACTCCCGGCGTTTATGCTAATGTAGCCTATGCTCGCCGATGGATCGACGAGCAGTTGGCCTTCAATAATTTAGATAACACCGTTTATCAGTATCCCAATTAATCATCATTCTTATGCGATGATCTACCAATCACGCATGGATCATACAATTTTTCTCTTTTATTTTATCACACTCACCTATTACGGATAGTGTTAACTTTTCCTCGTACTGAATTTTTTGCGTTGAACAACTTTAATCGAGAGCAAATGTAGTGAAATATTAACGAATCATATTATAATTAATTTAATATTCAGATGATACAGGAATAGAATAAAATTTAATAAATCTCTTCAATATTAAGAATCTTCCGTGTTATGTACTTTATATTTATAGTTATATATATTCGAAAGTGATCATAGATTTATATGACAAAGGAAGAATAATTCTAATATATGGCATTTTATATACGATACATGAGTGAATAATACATTTTTATTAAAAATAAAACAGTGTCAAGTTTATTTCCTTTTGAAATCTTTAAAATATTATAACAATTTTTAATTAATCAGTCTATTAATTTGTTAATGATAAATTTCACGATACAATACTAATCTTTTTTAGTACTCAATATTACACTATATGTCGAAATATATTAATTTTTTTATATGCTTATACTATTCATGTTCAGTAGCATAAATTTTCAAAATATATTAAACACTCCTTTTTTATTTGTTTCTATTCATAAATTAATAATATATACTTCAATAATTGATCTATATTTCTAATAAGAATTTATATATCTATGATATTTGATCCACAAACTAGCTACATTTTTATTATTTTTATTAACCATAAATCAAAGAAAGGTCCTAGCATATTTTATAAATCTATGTTATCAATATACAAATATGATAGTGATATACAAACTAATTTATTTTGGCATATGATAAATAAAAGATAAGGAAAAAGTTTGTATATACAAGGTGTTCGGAAATTCAACCGATGAATTTTCAGAGATTGTCGGGGATACCATAAGAATCATTTTTTACAAATGAACCTGAGGTCGGAAACATGTCATTATATCGCTACGGCATGCGGAGTATTCGAAAGAGTCGGGACATCGAAATATCACAAAAAATACAAGTTTTACGAAAAATTGTTTCAAACAAAAGTTGTAGGGTGTAAAAAGGTTCAATTACTGGCGCCATGTGTTTGACCTTGGATGGCGTCATCAAGATCACGACAAGGCCATCTTGAATTTTTGAAATGGAATCCTCTACTTTTTATTGCATATTCTTGTAGCCCTTCTCGAAACCTTTTCAAAGCACTATAAGCATTAATAATTTTACCAATTTTAAGTAAGCCGTTTTGAAGTTATTGAAGTTATAAAGTTTTTCTTGATAAGTCCATAACATATCTCAAGAAAAAAGCAGCAAAACATTTGTTTTTATACTGTTCTCTAATCTTTTCATCACATGTGCTTCTTTAATATTAATGTTTATGCGCAATACCTTCGTGATGCAAGGACTTCAAAGATCAAAGATACAAGGAAAATCAAAGATAATTAGGCGAACTGGCTTTTCTGTGAGATAAAAATTCAGTAAATTATCTTTATAAATCTTATAAGAAAATAAGAAAATCTTATATAAATGATGAAAATAATATGATTATTAGTTTTAAAATTCTCTGGAAAAGAATTATATATGATAAATTTATATAATGATTACGAATATATAATATTCTTATAGTTTATCGCAAGTATCTTATAGTTTAATGTAAGATATAGGTATCTCTCTCTATGTTATGATAGACATTTCAGCTGTGTTCGCTTTGACACGTCCGTTATGAGCATCATTCTGTCTTCGTTGCACATTGAATATTAAACGAAGATAGAAACGATGCTTTCAGTGCTAAAAGCGTTAAAACGAACGCTAAATTGTACACGTGTATTCTACTGTTTTATTGCGTAATTGTCTCTAGGAAATCAGTCATTTATTGTCATTATACTCATGAATGGATGGAAAGAGATATTAATCCTTTTTTATTGCTCCTCTTATATTCATAAAATCTATTTAAATATAATATTCATATGCTATATCCGTTGTGGTTTTAATTAATGATAAATATATAAACCATTTTCATATATTAATCAAAATCAAATAAAATCTGTTTTCCAAATATTTATATTATTCGCATGTTTTCAAAAATCTCCATTTTTAATATTATGTAATTTCAACAAAAAATTCATAAATAAGTAAATATGATTTCAACAAATAAAATATGTAAATAAGTAAATATGATTTCAACAAAAAATTTATAAATAAGTAAATATGATAAAAGTGCAGATTATGCAAGTTATGAAAAAAATTGTGCAGAAAAAGATTCTACATATTAATTTCCGCTTGCAACGAAATTCGCAAAAAGTATTAAATTTAAATAACTTATAACGTACTTATAGCGTACGATTTATAATGATGAAGCAAATTAAAAGTGAATTGAAATGTTGACGTGCTAACTTTTTTATTACAACTGTGAAAAATTTTTAATTAAAAATTCTAATTTACATCCGAAATAGATTGTTAACGTGTTATACTAACACTTATATTTTTTTTTGTTTTTTTATTTAGGATATATGATGATTCCCTTCTCGGGATACATGTTCTGTGTTTTGCTTACATCGTGTTTTACGTCTACACCTTTTCTATATTAATTTATACACTTATTTCTTGACTCAGTTGCTACTAACACTTATATGTTTACTTCTTTATTAATTAAAATGCACCTCTTTTCCTTCTTTTATGTAAATTTTATATCTGATATTTTTTATCAGATAATGTAGGATGTATAATTCATCGATCATACATTTTCATTAAATATTTCAAAAATTATGATGATTCATGATATCATCAAGATATAATCAAGATGATATCGATCATTAGTGATTGAAACAGAATTATGCGTGATCGCAAAGTTCTTCAAAGATGCAAAGTTCTTCAAAGATATACCTATATTAGAGTTTTTTACCGTGAGCCTTTTACCGTGTCTTTTCTCGCAACAAATTTTTTTAATCTATTTAAAATCGATTTTTCCTTAAAATAAAACATCAAAACACACTTATAATTTTCAAAAATCAAATTTACAATGAGAATCTGTTCTGTAAATATTAAAAGAAAAAATAATAAATAGTGTACTCTATTAATTTTAAACATTTCAGAATAGTGTACTCTATTAATTTTAAACAGTTTTCTCTTTAAAGAAAAAACATCTATAAAAGTCTTCTACTATTTTATTTTCCAGTTTCAATCATTTGCAATTAAATGTTTAAAATAAAAATTTTTAATCGAAGATACTCACTAGAAATTTTCTAACAGGTTTATTAAAATTTTAATAATATTGTAATAAAATTGTAATAATAAAGTTCTCATATTTTATGAATTACTATTTAAAAATAAATATTAAATTATATTGATGAAAATACAGAATCAATCAATCAATTTGTAGGAGACAACCATTTTGCTATCTTTTAAAAGAATTGAAGTTTAAAATAAGATTAAAACTGAGAATTATAAAGATATATAATTTGAATAATTTTATTAGTTACAATAAAAAATTTATGATATAATTAAAATGTTTGATATATAAGATAATTAATTTATTAAATCTTAAATTAATCTATTACTCAAAAATATCATGGTAAAAAAAATATACAAGATATTTTATATATATGTATAAGAATTGTTGCATATCATTCATCAATCAAGTATTCACATCGTTCTATGTCATTAAATGGTTGATTTAAAAAAAAATAAGTCACTATACAATAAGACAATAACAATTTTTAATCTTTTCGTAAAAATTGTTCTTTTAAATCACAGATACATGCTTGCTAAATATTCTTTATTACAATAGTAGTGCTAAATTTTTATATTTGTTAATTACAGTAAAGGGCAAGATAAAAAGTAAACCTAATAAATTTTTAAAATATATTAAATTTTTATTTTTAATAGAGTAAATTGTGTAAGCTAAAATTAATATTGCCACATGTTACTATATAAAAATAAAATTATAGAAATTTTCACCGAAGTTTTTGAAAATCAATTCAGAAAAATATAATAAAAAGTAAAAAGAAATGTTAAATAATGTACTAGATAATTATATATTAATGATAAATCTGATGTTTGGCAAATAAATTCAAAGGTTTCAGAGAATATAAAAAAGAACAGGCTAGGAAAAATTATTGTTGACAATAAATTGAAAGATATTAACATTGCTTTGCATTAGATTAAAAAATATTTTTAAAAAATTTGCTTAATCAGTTAAAGATGTATCGTAAATATTTAACATAATTGTCTAGAATCCAATTTTTCATGAAATTATTATTTTATGATATTCCTAACAATCAAGAGATTTAAAAATGATATATAAAATAATATTTTTACGTATAGTAATGTGTGATAATATTGTAGCTTACAAAAGTTGTAGGGTGTAAAAAGGTTTAATTAACTGGCGCCATGTGTTTGACCTTGGATGGCGTCGTCAAGATCACGACAAGGCCATCTTGAATTTTTGAAATGGAATCCTCTACTTTTTATTGCATATTCTTGTAGCCCTTCTCGAAATATTTTCAAAGCACTATAAGCATTAATAATTTTACCAATTTTAAGTAAGCCGTTTTGAAGTTATTGAAGTTATAAAGTTTTTTTTGATAAGTCGACGATTGTAGCTATCGTATTATTATCCACGAATGAAGGTAGAAGTGATAAATGATGGTGGATCTACTTTTATAACTGACCGATGATATTTGAGTCATTTTTTATTACAGACACTCGAGCAAATAAAAACCTTCATTTTTTTGTAGACTTGAGTTTGTATTCCAAACAGTACTGTTGTGCACTGTTGTTAAAGCACGTATCTAATTGAAATTATCATTTAGAAAATAAAGTACTTTATTTCTGATTTCTGATATTATTTCTTTCTGACCGAATGCGACATGGAGCGAGTATGCTGATATGATTGCTGTTTATGGAGAGGCCTATTATCACGGGCGTACAGTGTCAAGGATCTATCAAGAACGTTTCTAGCGGACGGCGCATTATCATAGTACTTTCGCCCAGGTATTCCAGCGCCTCAAAGAAACTAAATCAGTAGATGTTCGCAGGCATGATGCTGGACGTAAGCGATCTGTCTAAATACCAGAGATGGAAGAGAATATCCTGTTCTGTGTGGAAAGAAACCCTTCGTCTAGCACCCGTGCTGTGGCTGCGGCTGTCGGTACAGCACACAGTAGTTTGGGAAGTCCTGCATGAGCAGTTGCTACATCTTTTACACCCTACAACATTTGTTTGAAACAATTTTTTGCAAAACTTCTATTTTTTGTAACATTTCGAGATCCCAACTCTTTCGAACACTCCGTATACCGTAGCGATGTAATGACACGTTTCCGACTTCAGGTTCATTTGCAAAAAATGATTCTCATGGTGCCCCTGACAATCTCTGAAAATTTGTCGGTTGAATTTCCGAATATCCTGTATACAGGGTGTCAGAGCAGTCTTTTCTCAAAAAAGCTCTTATAGCTTATCTCGAGAGCTTTTCAAAACATTATAATAAAGTATTTTTTCATGGAGTATTTTTCGAGTTATAAGGCTTGAAATAATAATTTTATATAAACCATAAAATACATATATCTAGTAAAATATTCATTTTTTGATTATCTTACCTTAACACTTTTATTTACAGAATAATGAGAAGAAAAGAATATATAATTTGCAATTAACAATTACATATTTTTTTTCAAAACAATTGTGTTTTTTTATGCCAATTGATTTCTCCCATTATTTTGTACATAAAAGTATTAAGGTAAGATAATGAATCAAAAAATGAATATTTTACTAAATATTTTATGGTTTATGTAAAATTAAGAGATTATTTCAAGCCTCATAACTCGAAAAATACTCGATGAAAAAGTACTTTATTATAGTGTTTTGAAAAGCTCTCGAGGTAGAGCTTTTTTTGGGAAGAAATTGCCCTGACACCCTGTATATATTGTATATCTATATGATCTTAATATCTATATGATTTGAAATTATCATGCGTGTTTCAGAAGACAGACAACCCAAGTAAATTCATGTTATCCTTTTCTCTCAAGAAACATCCCGCACTACTTTATAAGCAGTCTATATTAATATGTCTGGGTAATTTCAAAATGGTTAAGTTAAATAATTATCATATTTTTATTATAGACAAGAATCATGTTTTAAATCACGTAATAAATCCTATAAGAATGTAACATATACATAAGATAAGATAAGAGATATTTTTAGCAATAAAGTACTTTGATACAAATGATTTATATAATAATGATTGATTGATCGTAATATCCTTGTTATAACAACACAATAATTACGTTACACGCATATATTCTCACTATAAATTGTTCTTAGGAAATCAATATTAGCATGAATCGTATTATCATGCATAAATAATGCACAAAATATTCATTATAATGTGTTTTCTATTTTGCATATGTAATATATTGAATAGATTTCAATTAATCACATTTATCTTAGAAATAATATTCCAGTCAAAAATATACGCCATGTTTTAATTATAATAATTATATAATTTATTCTTATGTCAATCAAAATTAAGTTGTGCTTGAGATAATTGAATATTAACTGCATATTTTTTATGAAGAAAGCAAAGTTTATCTTTAACTACATATTTTTTACAAAGAAAGCAATGTTCATCTTTAATATTGCGTGATTTTTGCCCTTTAGTAGCGAACACATAGAGGGATTAAAGCTCACATAAAATTATATAAAGAAAAGGATTTTTTCACTTATTCATAATCTCGAAGCGAAATTTGCAAAAAGCATTCGATTTCGATCATTTATAAGATAAGATTTATAATTATGACTTAAAGCGAACCTCAAGAGAAATATTCATCGAAATATTGGCTAATTTTTTAAAAATTGTTATCATAAAATTATAATAAGATGATAAATAATTAAGATAATAAAACTAATTTATATATAAACTACATATCTTTAAACAATATATGCATTTACAAGGTCTTTTCTTCTTGTAATCAGAAATTTTTTGACTTTATTTATTCACTTATAAAAATAAATATTCAAATGATTATGAAAAATATTTTCATTGGAAAATTATAGTCTATTACGTTCGAAATGCCTTGTTGACGCACAACATACATATGTTATACGTTCTCTTGCTAATTAAATCCCACTTCCAGTTTATCTCCTTCCAATTACATTCTGCATATAACATTTTTTATCACGGCTGACACCTATAAATAAAATGCACGATCTATCGACCATTTAGTATCTCTATTACAACTTATTGAAAAGTGATAACTATGGCTCGTCTAATCTGCACGATCGCGATCATTAGTATTGCACTGATGTGTGTACTTGCGGAGGAAGAGAAATACGAGGATAAATACGACGATATTGATGTCCACGAAATACTTCAGAATGCTAAACTACGAGAACAATATTATAAATGTTTCATGGTAACAGGACCATGCGTAACAGCAGATGCGAAATTCTTCAATAGTATGTTTACAAAATATTTTACTTCTATCGTATGATTTTTCTTCTTCTTTAACAGAGAAAAAGAGAGAAAAAAATTCCTTTTCTTTGATTATATTGAAATTTATTTTTTTTTAATGTTTAATGCCGTAAGTCTCTATAATTTTCAAATAACTAATAAATCACACATATTAATAGAAATTGTTCTGTAATTTTTCTGTAAATATTAGAAAAAGAAATAATGATAAAATAAAGTTCCCAATTAATTTCAAGCAAGTACTTTACTTTAATAAAAGATATTTGAGGCTTATGAGGAAAAATGAGTTAGAAAAATATGTATACATGTGTGAAATTTATATAATTGGAATTATATAAATACATAGAAGAACACACAAGATATATGTACAGATACATAAGAAAAAGAAAATTCATCACAACGACATGTTTTGAATATTTTATAAGAGATAGATTAACTTTATATATATTAATCCGTTATTCAAAAATAATGTGAGAAATACATAATGCATATTTTGCATATACAAGAAATGCTGCACATTATTTATTAATTCAGATATTATTGTTGTTTTATATTTTCTTTTAATAGATGATTGATTTCTTCTTTCTAGGAATGTAAAAAATAAAATTAATATATATTAATATATTTGATCCTTTTCTTGTATCCACAAAACATATATTTCAGCTTTTTATTTTATTTTAAATTTCTACTACAATATTTTTTGCTTCAGCAATCGTATTAATGTTCGTAGATTTTATATATTTATTAGAAATAAGATTGATTATTATAGATTATTATATACGGAGAATTTATCAAACCTATATATTTAGAGATCCTCAGTGAGGCTTTACAAACTAAGTGCAAGCTATGTACTGAAAAGCAAAAGTATATGTTGGACGAACTAAGTGATTGGTATACGAAAAATGAGCCTGCAAAATGGGACGCACTTGTTGCAAAGAGTTTAGAAAATATGAAGAAAAAAGCTAAAGAATAATTCCTGTAACAACCTGGCAAGATCAAATAAATGCTGACAATACTGATGTTAAGAGATATTTACTAGTTAATTACTAACAAAATTATCTTAGATTTACATTATTGTCTATCGCTTAAGTTTTCGTAAAACGATATTACTATTTGATATCTTTAATATAATTATTATAATTCTCAAACACGATACAAAATTTAACAAATAAAAAATGTTAGAACATAAAACTATGTAAAACTATGTAAAAGTCTATGTATTTTCAACTATAACTTGTTATTAAATTTATGGTTTATTGTACATTTTATCAATAATTGTTTCTTTTTATAATTATTTGAATTTATCTTAAATAATTTTAACTAACTGTTCTATTAACTGAATATTTAAAGAGAAAATATTAAATACATAATAAATTTTTCAAAAGATACTTATACTTTTCATGTTATTATAAAAAAAAAGATCTTTATAACATCCATGTTTATTCCACTTTTGTGATAAAAATTTTAAATAAAAATAGTTATTATATAAATATACATATACATAATTTTTTTCCTTAAAAATTTTCCTTAAAAATTTTTCCTTCCAAAAATAGATTTTTCGCAATTTTTCAGATGTTAAAAATTAATAAAATTTATTTATTTTTAATTTAATATTTAATTAAAATTAGGCGTAATAATTTTAACATTTAATTACAATTAGGAAGTGTAATTGTGTAGTAATTGTACCTTCGATGCATTTCGTTAAGAAAATAACGTGAAATTTATTTCATTTTCGATCGATTTCGAATGCATAAAACGACATTTTTTGTATGTAAAATTATAATATTAATACATAACAATAACTATTATACATTAGTATTTTATACACAATATTAATATTTAATAATTCGATAAACAATAATTAATTTTTTGCACATAAGATTTTTCCATAAACAATAAAAAAGTATCGAGAGGAATACTAGCAATTTAATGTAATTTTGTAATTGCGATGATATCTTTCATGTGCATAATACATATTAATAAATACTATACAGAAATAAATTAATGTATACTAATGTATACCATATATAAGAAAATAATGTTTCGTTTTTGAACAAATTTTTTGTTCTTTCTCATCATAATATGATTGGATCATAATATAATTGGCTTTCTCATAGAAAATATATTGTTAGATTAAAAAAAAAATAATCCGAATAAGTAAATGATAACGTAAAAAACAGAAAAATTCTTTTCATATTTCTTAGTCCATTAATATAATCAATATTCGAATATAAATATGTGACACACATGTTAGTTATTTTTATAAAATATTAATTTAAAAAAAATATGTGTTTACTTATATAATTTTAATTTCTGTTTTTAAATTTGTTTATAAAATTTTCGTGAAATATTTAGAGTTGATTGTGCATCGTAAAATTGTTCCAACAATAGAAATTATGTAATAATAAAATGTATAATAAAATGTATTGAAGATTGATGTGCATAAAGCATAATAATTGTATTCGTATAAATTTATGTTTGTGTGGTAATTTGAGATAATGATAAAATGTATTTTAAATTAAAAACGTTTCTATAGAAATTTATTTTTTATTCACATTTGCCAAAAATTATAAGATATTAAATCATCAAGTTACTTACGACATTTTTTTTCAAATCCATTAATGAAGTTTAACACACTATGCTACTGTAAATTATCAGTTTATCATTTACATCACATTTAATTGTGCAATATTGCATTCGTGATATATATTTTGCTGAGATTAATTTATACTTTTTATGTTAATATATAATAAAAAAATATATAGCTTTATAAAAAAATATTTTTCAGTAAAAAAGAATGTTCAAAATATCAATGTTTTTATTTCATATTAATATTGATTAATTTTATCCAAAAAAGAAATTGTTTCGTAATATCGTCAAGCAATTATTTTTCGTAATTGCAAAAATTGAGAAAGATTTTGGATTTTCGAAAAAAGGAAGAAGTAAATTTTCTTAAGTTTTATTGTCTAAACTAAATATTAAATTATACAATAACTTAGAAGTCTTTATAAGAAGAAAACTAAGTAAATAAAATAATAAGTAAGTCCATAACATATCTCAAGAAAAAAGCAGCAAAACATTTGTTTTTATACTGTTCTCTAATCTTTTCATCACATGTGCTTCTTTAATATTAATGTTTATGTGCAATACCTTCGTAATGCAAGGACTTCAAAGATCAAAGATACAAGGAAAATCAAAGATAATTAGGCGAACTGGCTTTTCTGTAAGATAAAAATTCAGTAAATTATCTTTATAAATCTTATAAGAAAATAAGAAAATCTTATATAAATGATTAAAATAATATGATTATTAATTTTAAAATTCTCTGGAAAAGAATTATATATGATAAATTTATATAATGATTACGAATATATAATTCTTATAGTTTATTGCAAGTATCTTATAGTTTAATGTAAGATATAGGTATCTTTCTCTATGTTATGATAGACATTTCAGCTGTGTTCGCTTTGACACACGCTATGAGCATCATTCTGTCTTCGTTGCACATTGAATATTAAACGAAGATAGAAACGATGTTTTCAGTGCTAAAAGCGTTAAAACGAACGCAGGCTTAATTGCACACGTGTATTCTACTGTTTTATTGCGTAATTGTCTCTAGGAAATCAGTCATTTATTGTCATTATACTCATGAATGGATGGAAAGAGATATTAATCCTTTTTTATTACTCCTCTTATATTCATAAAATCTATTTAGATATAATATTCATATGCTATATCCGTTGTTGTTTTAATTAATGATAAATATATAAACCATTTTCATATATTAATCAAAATCAAATAAAATCTGTTTTCCAAATATTTATATTATTCGCATGTTTTCAAAAATCTCCATTTTTAATATTATGTAATTTCAACAAAAAATTCATAAATAAATAAATATGATTCAACAAAATATTCAACACATTAGGATATGTAATGATTTCCTTCTCGGGATACATGTTCTGTGTTTTGCTTACATCGTGTTTTACGTCTACACCTTTTCTATATTAATTTATACACTTATTTCTTGACTCAGTTGCTACTAACACTTATATGTTTACTTCTTTATCAATTATCATTTTTTAAATCTAACAATATATTTTCTATGAGAAAGCCAATTATATTATGATCCAATCATATTATGATGAGAAAGAACAAAAAATTTGTTCAAAAACGAAACATTATTTTCTTATATATGGTATACATTAGTATACATTAATTTATTTCTGTATAGTATTTATTAATATGTATTATGCACATGAAAGATATCATCGCAATTACAAAATTACATTAAATTGCTAGATATTCAACAAAAAATTTATAAATATGATAAAAATGCAGGTTATGCAAGTTATGAAAAAAATTGTGCAGAAAAAAATTTTACATATTAATTTCCGCTTGAAACGGAATTAGTATTTCGCAAAAAGTAAATTTAAATAACTTATAACTTATAACGTACGATTTATAATGATGAAGCAAATTAAAAGTGAATTGAAATGTTGACGTGCCAACTTTTTTATTAAAACTGTGAAAAATTTTTAATTGAAAATTCTAATTTACATCTGAAATAGTTTGTTAACGTGTTATACTAACACTTATATTTTTTTTTGTTTTTTTATTTAGGATATGTAATGATTTCCTTCTCGGGATACATGTTCTGTGTTTTGCTTACATCGTGTTTTACGTCTACACCTTTTCTATATTAATTTATACCCTTATTTCTTGACTTAGTTGCTACTAACACTTATATGTTTACTTCTTTATCAATTAAAATGCACCTCTTTTCTTTCTTTCATGTAAATTTTATATCTGATATTTTTTATCAGATAATGTAGGATGTATAATTCATCGATCATACATTTTCATTAAATATTTCAAAAATTATGATGATTCATGATATCATCAAGATATAATCAAGATGATATCGATCATTAGTGATTGAAACAGAATTATGCGTGATCGCAAAGTTCTTCAAAGATGCAAAGTTCTTCAAAGATATACCTATATTAGAGTTTTTTACCGTGAGCCTTTTACCGTGTCTTTTCTCGCAACAAATTTTTTTAATCTATTTAAAATCGATTTTTCCTTAAAATAAAACATCAAAACACACTTATAATTTTCAAAAATCAAATTTACAATGAGAATCTGTTCTGTAAATATTAAAAGAAAAAATAATAAATAGTGTACTCTATTAATTTTAAACATTTCAGAATAGTGTACTCTATTAATTTTAAACAGTTTTCTCTTTAAAGAAAAAACATCTATAAAAGTCTTCTACTATTTTATTTTCCAGTTTCAATCATTTGCAATTAAATGTTTAAAATAAAAATTTTTAATCGAAGATACTCACTAGAAATTTTCTAACAGGTTTATTAAAATTTTAATAATATTGTAATAAAATTGTAATAATAAAGTTCTCATATTTTATGAATTACTATTTAAAAATAAATATTAAATTATATTGATGAAAATACAGAATCAATCAATCAATTTGTAGGAGACAACCATTTTGCTATCTTTTAAAAGAATTGAAGTTTAAAATAAGATTAAAACTGAGAATTATAAAGATATATAATTTGAATAATTTTATTAGTTACAATAAAAAATTTATGATATAATTAAAATGTTTGATATATAAGATAATTAATTTATTAAATCTTAAATTAATCTATTACTCAAAAATATCATGGTAAAAAAAATATACAAGATATTTTATATATATGTATAAGAATTGTTGCATATCATTCATCAATCAAGTATTCACATCGTTCTATGTCATTAAATGGTTGATTTAAAAAAAAATAAGTCACTATACAATAAGACAATAACAATTTTTAATCTTTTCGTAAAAATTGTTCTTTTAAATCACAGATACATGCTTGCTAAATATTCTTTATTACAATAGTAGTGCTAAATTTTTATATTTGTTAATTACAGTAAAGGGCAAGATAAAAAGTAAATCTAATAAATTTTTTATCGTAAATATTTTATCGTAAATATTTAACATAATTGTCCAGAATCCAATTTTTCATGAAATTATTATTTTATGATATTCCTAACAATCAAGAGATTTAAAAATGATATATAAAATAATATTTTTACGTATAGTAATGTG